TTCATTGGTACCTAAGCATTTGACTCTATCAAGCATACCCGGCTCGACATTACCGCAACCCTCCTTTCCCTTCCTCCTTTGCAGCTCTTGCCGTCGACTGGATTAGCAGCAGACATCGACTACGACATCATGTGGCTTGGTTCCCCCATTGGAATGTTTGCCATCTGTGGGGGTGTCCATCACGGGCATGCCTCAAAGCGACCGGTGACACATAGCTTTTTGTTGCGCCAGAAGGAAGCATATGAAGAAGATGCGAGGGCTGACGGCGTGTGGCCACTCGTTGCTGTGGCACATCAGATGATGGTATTTGATGGCCCGTAGATATAGCTCATCTTCTATCAGTGCTTGGTTGTGAACTCGCTCCTGATTATGGTTAGAGATATATGATTAAATGTAAGTATCCGAGTCTTCGATCAGACTATAACATAGTTTGATATGATCTTCGCCTCCATAGCGCCCTATCGAAAAAATCTGAAACGGTAGTCCTCGGAGAATGACGGTAGCTTGGCATATGGATATATCCATTACTCGGCACCTCTGCACAGTTGACGATAGGGCTATTTGCATCCCATTTTCACAACCATGGATGCGCGGTAGCACACAAGATATGTACCACATTCTCCTAAAATATGGCCATCTCGGACTTCGCACTTCACACATGCCATAAGATATGTGACGTGTCCGCGAAAATGAATACCCTTGATTGCGCTTAAAAGGACAATTGTGTACAAGTCTACGTGATTCTGGAAAATCGGCACGTAAGGCAGTCATCACGTTTGTTGTGCCATATCAGGCTTTCAAGGATAAGATCTAGAAGTCACTAGATATGGTCCAGGCCTATGCCGCAAAACGTCAATGTACCGACGGCAAGGCTCTGCACTACCGACTTTGACATTCCCTCGGAGTTCACCATCGTTGGCATGTACTAAAAAACCATTTCCAACGACAAGCCTGTCAGATAGAATGGGATAGTTGCCATGAATCATCAGGTATCTTGATCGAGGGAAACCGGGAGGATAGACCGGGTAGATTAAAGAACGAGTACAAGGGATCCTGAATGCTTCGCGGGAGAATTTTCAAAAAGTGGACACGGCGCCGACACGTGGTTCGAAGGGGTGGAGCTCGATCTGCGAAGCTGACGACACACTACGATACATGATGCATCTGAAACGCTGATATGCACATGGTACATATATGTAGTTCGTCTAGAAGCTAACGGAGTTCAGTGCTCACGAGGCTCTCCGCATTGCGGAAATGGCAAGCCAATGGTAGGCCGTGCAGGGTCCGCATCTGTCGATATACCCAAAGTGAAGGCACTGAAGGTAAACAGCAGGACAAGTTTCACCGTGTTCCATGACCCACGGATTCTTGACATCGATGATTGAAACACCATCGATATCGCTGTGCACAATGCACTGGATATTCATTGCAAGCATGGAAAATGCTGTAATGAACCGGCTGCCGAAATTAGTGCATAGCTCTTGCAATAATAATCACTGCGATGAGTGCGCATGCTAAGCACTGATAGAAAAAAACCAATATGCAAGATTGCACGAGACCTGACTAACAATCTGTATGATGAGTTTGATATGGAGCTAGCGCTCGCTTATTATTAGTCAAGAACGCAATGACCAAGGAAGGTGCTTCTCGGCATATAGTGCAAATTTGAAAGAGTACTAGCAACTTGGAAGCTCAGGTTGAGCTTGGAGCTAGCGTCGTATAAGTAGTAAGGCAACGTGTTGACGATGATCTAAGAGTGCAAGCGGGTACCGAGGCGCACCGGCGCTGTAAGAGAGGAACGTGTCGGCCGAGTACAAATAAGGAAATTCAAAGTCCGCCTAGTTGGTGTGCTTTCTCTCCATCCGCTCCTTGTCACAAGCACACCAGTCCCGTCCTCTACCTTCCCACAGCTGCGCTTCTGGACTGGTGGCCTTCAAAATTATTAACTATTCATCCAGATGACGACCCCTCACGTTATAGCCTCGTCTTCGGGGCACCACTCTCAAAGTGCCACTTCAAATGGTATCGTCGGAAACCACTTTCGTGTCGGCAAGAAGATTGGCGAAGGTTCATTCGGTGTTGTATTCGAAGGTGAGTATCGTACACCCAAGTTCCTGCTTTTCCAGAACTTTTTGGGCTCGAGAGTTGCATGGACGATACCAACAGAGTCATTCGACCTTCTAAGCGCCCGTCTTACGACCACCCAATGTCATGCAGAAGGGTGCATTTCGGTCCATGGGTCGCCGGTGGGCGATCATCATGTCATGGTTACTTAGTAGCAATGGGACTAGATCAACTGAGCTCCGCGTATCCCGTCAGAACGGAAATTATTTACCTGCGGCTTTGAGCCAATTTTTGTTACCGGTGTTCTTTGCTATTTGTTCCTTTGACTCACCACAACTCTTCACAGGCACAAAGCTTCTTACAAGCCAACCTGTCGCCATCAAATTTGTACGTTTGCCGCGAGGTTCCTTCTAATCGTGACTCGATTTTGACGTATTACTCAGGAACCTCGAAAGTCCGATGCTCCTCAGTTACGGGATGAATTTCGATCATACAGAACACTGAATGGTACAGGTATGTGTTAGTCTCAGTAATTTCTCTCACCCGATGGTAATATGTCATTATTATTAGTGGGTGTTCCGCAAGTACACCACTTTGGGCAGGAGGGACTCCACAATGTCCTAGTAATCGACCTTCTGGGCCCTAACTTAGAGGACCTCTTCGACATGTGCGGCCGGAAGTTTACCATTAAGACTGTATGCATGTCCGCGAAACAGATGGTAAGTTTGGACCCATACAACGAGCAGGAATTGTTATGTTGTTTGGTTATTTTCTCTCTCAATTCATTCCGTCGTTCCGTTGCAGTTGTTCATGTCTTCTTTTTTTTTTAGATATCTCGCATTCAGTCCGTCCATGACAAGTCGCTCATTTACCGTGATATCAAGCCTGATAATTTTCTCGTCGGGGTCCCTGGAACAAAAACCTCCAACACCATCCACATTATTGGTATGTCTTTTGCAAGTTGTCCATGTCCCTCTTTCACATCCTCCCCCGATCGCACCGATGTGTCCCTGAATTTGCGCAGATCTCATCTATTGATTGTCTCTCCACAAACATACTGACTATCCCTTGCAGATTTTGGCATGGCGAAGCACTACCGAGATCCCAAGACAAAAGTTCACATTCCTTATCGTGAGCGCAAGTCTCTCTCAGGCACTGCCCGGTACATGTCGATCAACACGCATCTTGGCCGTGAGCAATCGCGCCGGGATGATTTAGAATCGCTAGGTCATGTATTCATGTATTTCTTGCGCGGCGGCCTTCCCTGGCAAGGTCTCAGGGCCGCAACCAATAAGCAGAAGTATGAGAAGATCGGTGAAAAGAAGCAGACTACACCGATTGCGGAGTTGTGCGAGGGTTTCCCCGGTAAGTTCTCTTTTAGTTTATTCAGTGGCGTCTATTTTCTTCGCTTGTCGATGTGCTGGAGTGACAACATGATTTACTGATCGGTCTCTACTGATTCAGAGGAGTTCGCGATCTACATGAACTACGTCCGCAAACTCGGGTTTGAGGAAACTCCCGACTACGATTTTCTCCGAGAACTCTTTACCAAAGTGTTGAAGAATATTGGCGAGCAGGATGACGGCATCTTTGACTGGATGTTGATCAATAACGGCAAAGGTTGGGAGGCCAGCAATGTATGTAATGTATTCCCATCATGGAAGCATATCGTAACTGAATGTTTTCAGACACCCGCGTCACTATTAGCACAGGCTCACGCCACTGTTAACGTACCTCATACTCCTCGTCACCGTGAGACCAGTCGTCGCCCGCGGGCACAGCTTACAGATGGTTCAGCGCCTTCTACGCCTCTCGTCCTCGCGCCTACTCCCGCTCACATCAAGAACAGCACTAGACGTCCAGGCACACGAGAAGGACACGGTAGTCGAGACCCTGGCACTCGTGCTGATATCAGTGTACAGCCCATTGCTCCCGTCAGCAGGCGCGCGAGCCAGACACCCCGAGAGAGTTCAGCACTCGCACCTCACCCTTACGCCACAGCGCCCACATCCTCGGGATACCGGGCCAGTAACGGTTACGGCAGGCATTCCCCGGTTACACATGCTGCGAATGTGACCAATGGCAATAATCCCGTTGGGCGCAACGACGCTTCAGATTCGTTCCTCTACGGCGCGCAGGTCCACGCTGCCAAAAACCCGACCAACTCGCGAGAGGACACAACCGCAGGGACGCTGACCCGTGATGCTGGACAGATGCGTGGAATGACTGCGTTTGAGACTCAAAGGCATGGTGTTGATGATGTGGATGATGACAGACATGCTAAGCGGAAGGGCTTCTTCTCCGGCCTGTTTTGCTGCCGGGCATAATCAACACCACTGGATGGTGTAGCGCTGGTCGCTATCCGTGGTACTTCGGCTTCATTGGTAAGTTATTCGGATAGTCTCGGCTGATATCCGGCTAATTCGCCACTTATAGGTATTAGAAACTCTGACGACAACGCGCACGATCTATCAATCATGGCTATCGTACATACTTATCTATCTTGCTAGCTTCTCCTCGGGATTCCGTATTGCTTTCCTTTCTCCGCAGGTCGACCATGTCACACCGTCATCATACCCCTCACGATCGTTTCGAACCATTCCGTCACAGTCTTCATCAAGTTTCCGCCTGATCCTGTGGCTGGTCTTGGGTGGCGCTCAATATTCTCCTGTTTATTGCTTCCATGTGTATTATCTACAGACCCTTTAGGATATTCATTAGCCCCACTACTTAGCCATGGGGCGACTTTCTGTTACCAGGCCAAGTCGAGGGCAATAATAAATATTGACTGCTTTCGATTTGCGCGAATCAAGGTTAATATGTGTTTCATATCGTCGAGGACATTACGTCTGGACTGGGCCTATCGATCCGGGCAATGATCAAGTAGCCCTTCTCAAGGTTCTAGCTAGGAATGCTTTTTGATATGATATCACGTTCGAGGTATGACTCAAATATGACAGCAGACTTTGATTATCTTCAAGGTAGCTATTCATATTCCGCAGCCCGATGTCAGCGCAAGAGAAATAAATAATATACGACCACAAGACAGCAAAGCAGCAGAATCATAGCACTATTGTACAGCATCAAACTTATTACAATCAACGCGGTTGGATACGTGTCAGTCGACCGCGGTCACCGCCTGACTGGCATAATGGCGACATTCCTCCGCACACCTCCACAAGACCCCACAAGCTATTTCCGCACCCTCTACGCCTAGTTTGGACCAACGCAGGACTACATCCGAATCAAGGATGGGTTTCTGTCGCGAAGTTCTGCGGCGCCCTCGTATCATTCATCAAGCCTGGCCTTCTTCTCTGGGTGCCTCTCCATATCTCACTGAGGTACTTTCATCAACGCTGTTTTTACTTCTTGGAATAGCACGAGTTGTAAAAGAATGGGGAATGCTCGCGCTGCCTGCACTATATTTACCCTCAGACTTGGGGGCGTCTGTGGGTTTGAGGTTGATGTAAGGCGTTGTAGTGGGATATGCGCCTGATGGCACCGCATAAGGGGTATCGGCAGGATCAGGCTCTGATACCACATAAGTGCGCGTGCCAGCTGATGATATTTGTGGTTCAGGAGAGTGATCATGTTGTTTTTCGTACTGTGACGCCGACACTGGCGATGAGTTCGAAGCCGAAGAGTTGAGCACCACAAAGGGGGAGTGAAATGAACGCTCTAGTGCAACAATGCGGGTGTTAGATGGCTGTTTTAATGAGCGTGCATGTTTCGAAAAGACGCGGAGAATGTTGGACATGGGGGACTTGGTTGGTGGTCGTGAAGACGTGGCCTCAGTAACGTACGTTAAACGAGCTTCCGAGTCGGGGACTCGTGACGTAAAAGCCGCAGTTCAATTGGACATTTGCTTCCGCGACATGCCATCAGCCAATTCAAGCAGTGTTTCACAGGTCGCTTGCATGAACGGAAGACATCCGCTAGCGCTGACAGTGACGCAAAAGGTACGACTGCTTGCAGCTGTCCAGTCGTGGTGAATCGACTGACTGAACCTTTAGCCATCGTCAATCTTCCCTTCAAGATCTCGTCTGTTCCTCACCTTCCAGGGTACGGCCCGCGGCGGTCTCCGCACCATCAACGCAGGTTGGCGTGGAACAGAGTTGGCGCAGCATCGTGTAAAGTCGTATACTCAATTAATACAAACAACATAGAACTGATGCTGTCAATAGCACTACTCGGACTCAGCCACGCGGCGGTGAGCGAACGCCCTGAACTGGCTTCTGGATCAGCCACTAAAATAGTGGGCAACACATCCGAAGTCATCGCTCATTTTCCCTGGGTATTTGGCGGTCAGATCGAGCGGCTTGACTGTGCACCATTCCCAGGTCAAGACAGGTGGTTACGCCTTTCAACGGACTTGTTTGCTTGCTTGAGAAACGCATCATGATGTTGTCGGGGAAGCAGAGATCTTTTTCCATTCAGGTCATGCCCGATTTGAACCTGACTAGCTCACCATACCCTGACCTTTCCCTAACGGGCAACGATCCTCGCTTCTTTATATCCGCTGGGGTTCATGTCCCCTTGGTCAGACCATATCAGCGACATGTAACTCGTTTCACATCGTCGCCTTGTGATTCCTCATCAGATTCGTTGAATCATGCTCGACACGCATGAAGGGAATCCGGTCACACAGCTCGCAGCCTTCATCAAAGACGTATATTTAGGGTTTGACATACAGTGCGTCCACTTACAAATGTTTGATCGTTGAATGCTTACTAGATCATATCAACATCCAGTGCAACTTTTCTAGGGTACTCCGCGGCCCCGAACGTTCAGACTCACTTCCTCATCGCGACATGAAACATTTTTCCGGCGTCACATTGGGTTCGCCCCATTGTGTTGTTGCGACCGCATTTGCCCCCTCGAAAACGGAAATGCGGCTAGTCTCCATAATGCTTGACACTCTCCTCTAAAGGATAGATTCAATTGTCATGATGGAGCCTCAGTTACGAGAATTGTCCGCGTATCATGACTGACTCCTCGGAGAGCTTTGTGGTACGTTCATCCCGACGCCGTTGGAAATTACTTGGTCACCTTTTGCTAAAAACAATACTGCGCCTCAAAACCTCTAGGCTCTTCTCTGCGCTCTGTGCGGCGTTATTCCTCTGTCAATCTAACCAAGAGATAAGCCCACAATTCATTCAGGGTGCACCACAGGATCAGCATCACATGGATGTTGAAGTGACGACGTCGCAACAATCTAGGAGATGAGATAAAATTTGAACCCTATTCCAATGGAATGATGTGATATTGGAGCGATCATCCTTCATGGCCTTTCATTAACCGTTCATCGCCGCTAGTTTGCGCTTCGTGTAATTCATTTGTCTGACCTATCACTTACCAGATGGACCTCGACCAGCAATCACGATTACGCTGATGCTATAATGTGCCTGTCGCCGCATTTCGCATAGTGATCTGTCGGTACTCGAGGAAGTCATCTTCCTATCGATTTTGGTTAGTAGGAGTTTCTTCTGTATGGAAGGGCTTACCAAGTTCCATCAAGCGTCTGTTCTTAATCTTGGTCGTCGTGTTCGTGCGTTTCTGGCGCGGTTATGGGATTCTATTTTGTAATAGTGGCACCCCGGAGCTTGTGTTGATCCAGGGGAATCAGGGCACAGAACCGTGGCCAGTCAATTTGGGCTATCTGGGGTGGCGCGTGTTTTTTTTTTCATGTCAGGCTTCCCATTCTGACTGCGTCTCGTTAATAAGCCGAAATGGTATCGGTATCTGATCAAACCCATACATGGTCAGACAGGGTCATTCCAAGCCCCCCCCAACATCCAGTATGTCTGAGGCTTCCGAATATCGAGGCATATCGTAGTAGGTCGGAACCGAGGCAAAAAGTTTCCATTCTAACCCACGCAACTGCAGTTCTACCACTAGCCTCTTATGTTGCATAAGCGCTCACGATTTCGTGCTGTTCGGCTGGTAAAGCATCGGCAATAAAAATGCTTGCATGCAAAGTATATCTCAGATTGTTATCCGCAATACTGGCACTATTACACGTCATGATCTGGGTGTCACCCCCAATCCAACTGTTCTATTCAGAAGGAATGACGTCACTTCTCGCCAGTGACTGCGATGATTAATAGCAGAAGACAGCCACCAGTCAGTTGATTTCTTGGATCTTGGACTGCTTGGTCGCTCGGCGGCCTATTCCTCGATGGGCTCTTGAGATCTCGACCGTATCTAGGTCCGGACCCTGGCCGCCCAAGTTAGATTATATTATTTTGGGTTGGACTTGAAATAACAACGCCCATTAGTTCAAAGTTCAAACGACCCACACAACCGTCTCTTTCATCCCCGCCTCTTGTAAGATAAACTCATGATTTGTACATAAAATTGCCGAGTTGCGGCATATTCCGTACGAGACCTAAAAAGGTATTACTAAGTAGAAATGTGTTATTTGTGAATGAGCCACCACAGGTAAGAGGCTGCGACCCTGGTTTCCGCTTGTTGAGCAGCAGAGATGATCATTTCAGACCAGAAAGAGTACAGAGGTCATGCCGATCCCCCGGAAGTGACAACCTAGCAGGAAAGTGGCACAGGCACGCGAGGACCTGGAAACCCTGCACATTAACTTAAGTCCACGGACATCACTCAGGTGAGTGCACATCCTTCTCGGCACTTGTCGCTTTCCGTCACCGCGGCTTTGCTTGCCTAATATTGTTGGACTAACCGAGTTTTGCCCCGTACGTTCCATTTGCACTTGTCGTACAGGCTAGCTTACTCCATATTCATTTGATTGTTCCGTTCCTCTAAGTAACCAACTCCCACCCGCTCCTTGTGGGGCCAAATCTGTCCATATCGACTTTCCGGGTGATTGTTATCTATTTCCATCCGACTTGCTGCCATCTCTGTTTAGATGTTGGTCTCTGCGAGTCAAAATCTTCATCTAGCCCTTGGCCAATATGTGCTACTAGATTATGTCGAATTCTTCTTTTTGATTCCGATGTCCGAAATTTCGCCAGCCTCTTAAATACAAGGTTTCGTATCGGCTTGCAATATGTGTCCCAATGCCCACATACTCTATCGATGAAAACATGTCTCCGCTGTCCCTGCAAGGTGGCTTTCTTGTGGTGGTGGCCGCCGGCCTTGTGAGTGGCCAATATATGCCGTGTATTATCATATCGCGTTCTGACCCTGATTGTTTGTAGCTTTGTCACTTGGTATTCAAACGTCACGAGCCCACTAGTCCGCTCTCCCACCTAGGCTTGCTCGTTGTAGTTCCGGCCATCCTTTCGACCTTGTTTTTGCCTAACTCATCAACGTTTACGCGCGCATTCGGCTTTGTTTACCTTTTGTATTACTCTACTGTTCTCCTCTCTGTGATCGTATACCGTCTATCCCCCTGGCACCCACTTGCGAGATACCCTGGTCCTATCCCTTGCCGCATCTCCAAGTTCTGGATGGCATGGGTCTCTCGTGATGGAAAACAACACATTTACTACTCAAAACTGCACCAAGCGTATGGCGACGTCGTCAGAATCGGTAGATAACCTCTTGACTCGATGCTTATTATTGGATCTGACCACCCTTTCTCTTGATCTAGGACCTAATGAGCTATCAATACGAGATGTCAATGCTGTTGTCCCGTTGATGGGTAGCAATGGATTCCCAAAAGGACCTCGTCAGTGATTTAATGTGCTCTGATATGTGGCGCCCGGCCCTAATTTAGATTCACAGACTGGGACGGACGCATGGCTGAGCAAACAGCCACTAGAACAGTTATCTCGGTGAGGGACCCCGTGGAGCATGCGCGGCGGAGAAAACCCTGGCACAGGGCTTTCAGTGTTGCTGCACTGAAAGGTTACGACGAGATCCTTGGGAAGCGAGTGCAACAATTCCTAACAGTCCTCGAGCAACAAACACAACCCTTCAACCTCGCTGAGCTCATAAGTCACTTCACGTGCGCCTCCCCACTTCTCTACCTTTTCGTACCTGACTTAGACGAGACAGGTTTGACTTCATGAGTGACATGGCGTGAGTGCACATGTTATTTGAATATTTCTCATCCAGCTTAACGATTTCCCAAGATTTGGCGGAGGTTCTGAGATGTTGCGTGACGGTGATAAGGACAACACTTGGCATCTGCTCGAAAATGGTCTTCCGTGAGTACAGCAAAGGACAATAATATCATAAAGAAAGACTAAAATAATGCTCTATTCTAGAACTGCTCTGGTTCTGTCTCACGTACCTTGGCTCGGAAAGTACTACGCCAACTTGCCAGGAATCGGGGAAGGCCTCAAGAAATTCCGAACGTTCTGTCAAGCGCGTGCTATGCTCAGGCGGTCCGCAGGTTCTCTGTCTAAAGACCTCTTTCACTATCTGGTAATTGTTTCAATAATTTTTGTTGTTTTTAGTTTTGTTGACAGTCCTTAGATTGACGAGGCGGGTCTTGAGCGTCATACGTCGCCTCCAACCTTTGCGGAAGTGGCATCTGATGGAGTTCTTGCTATAGTAGCCGGGTCTGATACCACAGCAACCACCTTAAGCTCTCTGTTCCTATCAATTCTGAGAAATCCTCAAACGTACTACCGGCTCCAAGCCGAAGTCGACAAGTTTTTCCCTCCTGGCGAAGATTTACTTTCTACAGTTCATTACCCTCATATGAGTTACCTCAGTGCCGTAATGCACGTACTCGAATCTTTTTTTACCGATACACTGACATCTGACACTGGTTTTCAGTAACGAAACTCTACGGCTCTTCCCACCAGTTCTCAGTGGAAGTCAGCGTGGCGTTCCGAGAGGCGGTGACGACAAGTTTGTTGGCCCTTAGTAAGTTCATTATTTATATACCAACTCTAGCGAATCTAACTTACGCTTGCCGTAGCTTCTTACCCGAAGGCACCAATGCGTTCGTACATACCTATTCCCTTCATCGTGATCCTCGTAACTTCTCCCCGGCACCTGACACATTCTGGCCGGAGCGCTGGCTCAAACCGGAAGAGCGCGCAGCACTCTCATCATTTGATGCCAAGGGCCTTGATAAATTCCCAATTATCCATGACACCAAGGCTTTCGTTCCGTTCTCATTCGGCCCTATGCATTGCGTTGGCAAGCAGCTGGCATATCAAGAATTACGTATGGCGGTTTGTGCGATGATGCACCGACTAAACTTCAGCTTTGCTCCTGGATACAACCCAGAGTCCTGGGAACACGACTTGAAGGATTATTTCGTTGCCATGAAGGGGAGCCTGCAGGTTGTCTTATCTCCACGGAATCTAAGTGCTTGAACGGCCTGAGAGTTGCACAGACGCGATGGTTATCTTACAGCGCTTAGTTATTGATCATTCATGCATCCATCTAATCTCGTTATCACGGATGTATCTATGCAGTTGACCAATTCTCTTGTACTCACTGTGATTGAATTATATTTATCTGGGAGCCGATTGATGTCATCTTCAATTTGTATCGGGAATCTGAGGGATGTTCAGGGCATCATCTGGCGTCATGGATCAGACTCGTCAGGTCCACCGGTCGCATTTCAACGTCCCAATATAAAAATCATAGCACCGGATGAGGAAGCACCGAGATAGAATATTATTTCTATCTCCGCATCTCAGAAATTCAGAATCCCTCACAAATCAGTAGATCATCCATCAAAATAAAAATAATTGGAAACACACGGGAGCTTCGAGATATCCACCAATGGCCAATAAAACATTATTATCAAGCCCCGACGCGAGCAGAAAGAGTCATATGTGCTTCATTCTATCAACTCGATCATGAGTTGACGACTTCACAAATAAAGACTATCGGGTGATGGAGCTAATCCTGTGTTATCACTTGGCAAGAGATATCGATCAGTCCCGCGCGCTGCTGTTACTTTTGAAGACATTTGGACCCGTAGGTACTTGGTCAGGAGAACGAGATCTCAGAAGCAAATCTGTTTCACGGCACCGGGAGAAGTGTATAAGAACGTTGTTCCTCGGAGAAGCAGCGGGAGGGAAATCAGGTGCATGCAAAGACTGCAAAAGGATATAGATTTCTCAGTAAACTGCGAGTCAAAGGCCCTGACTTGTTTGAACACCGGCCGAATGCTCTGGGCATCCTCGTGCATCCCTTTGAGGGATAATGATGCTTGAGCGGCCAGAAGTCGACAGAAGTTGCCAATAGTCGCTGCGGAGCCTCGGACAAACGTTGGACACCGAATTTCAACCTGAACGTAAGAACGTGATTCGGTGTATGTAAAACAGACAAATGCTTGGTTTTACTATTTGATTGAGCCTCGAAGAGCTGTGGTCGGCTCAGCGGCCGACCGGTAACACTTGTAAGCATTCATGACACTCTTGTGGATCGTGACCTCAACCCAAAGCGAACCTTCGAAAAGCTGCATAATTCCTCAAATATCACTGGGTGAGTTCTAGTACTACTATTGTAGCATGACGGTGAAACGCACTACGGCCCGTTCAGAATGGACTCTCGCAAAAACCCCATTGGCAGCCGGTGATATTCCAATGAGAGCTTAGAGCCACGATGCCGCATGCTCGGAGTCCTTTATAACCGCACGCGTAAGTTCCGGTATGAAAATTCGTTGTGTCGTCAGAGTTATTCGCAATTTGGCAAAAAGAGCGCAACTCAGTTCCATTGACATAGTCAACGGTAGTAGAGGGGGAAGAATCCATCTGAAGAAGTTACTTTCTTAAGATTAGTTCTCCAGTATCTGTCCGAATAACGTCGCAAGTTGCGGACGCGGGATCCTCGGGCGATGCACAGGTGCACCCAAAAATTAAATAAATAAAGTGAAATCGATTCCGAGAGTGAGGGAAGAGGAATCACGGAGAGCAAAGTAAAAACGGTTGATTAGTAGAAGCTACGACTTGAAAACATGTGCATTGAAGGAGTGAAATGGGACTATTCCAATGAATCATCTACATGGTTAATCGTAACATCACAATGTTACGATGATACAATTGAAGAATGCCGAAAGCTGGAGACAGAGTCAGCGACGGGCCGAACCGTGCTGTCCGGCATCAGGATTGGCGATGGCAACAGCATGTGGCACTTGGGCTGCAGACAGTGCTTTGGTTTCACGGATGGATGTTCTTGAGGAATGTGCGAGCCTGTGCACGCAGGTACTAGATGCCACGGTGATTAGGGATGACTACGGAAGGAATACTTTAATTAATTTGCTCGACCAAAAGATTGGCGCGCTTATGGTACCGCAAGCTGAAACAAAAACATACGCAGCTTGGTGGTTGACCTGTCCATGTCAGATCAGTGTGTACTACTACTAGTCGAAGAAATGCGGTCACGTGCATGTAGGTCAGCATTCCAATTTCTGAATGTCAGTACTTACTGGCCTACAGAACCAGAGTTACTTACAATCAGTACTACCATGTCGCTTGTGCTGGCTGTGAATGCTGGCTCATCGTCGCTCAAAATTTCACTCTTCCGCCGTTCTGCTGATAATGCTGCAAATCCGGCATTACTCCTATCCTCGTCCACATCATCCATTTTTGCCCCTCCAGCCAGGTTCAAGTTGAATTTTGTCGCACTTCAACACAGGTCGTTGAGCGAAGAAGTCGACTCAATCTATGATCATGAGTCGGCGTTTAAGCACTTCTTGTATCGCCTCAAGGAAGAGGCGAGCGTCGACACAATTGACATTAAGCACATTGCACATCGTGTGGTGCATGGTGGCGACTACATAAGCCCTGTCATGATATTTGAGGAATCCTATCACCATATCAAGAAACTATCCGACCTTGCCCCTTTGTACGTTCTCTCCCGACTTGTATTCAGTGTTGCATTACAAAGCCTGTAGACACAATGGATCCGCTCTTTCCGTCATCAGCTCAGCCATTAAGGCCCTTCCGCATGCGAAATCCATCGCATTTTTTGACAGTGCATTTCACAAAGATCTTCCGACTCATGTAGCTACCTATGCGATCAATCAGCAAGTGGCGCACGAGAAGGGATTAAAAAAGTACGGTTTTCATGGTCTAAGCTGTATGCACTATCTGTCCTCGCTAAAATGACGCTGACGCTGTATCTTCCTAGACGCGTTCATCTTGCGGGCAGTGGCTGCGCATCTTAACAAGGTATCTGGTATTCGTTTGTTTGATTGTGACCTTCTGACCTCCTCAGGCTCCGGATACACTAAACATAATCGCTCTTCATATCGGTTCGGGGGCTTCCATGTGTGCCATCCGCAATGGTCAGTCCATTGATACAAGTATGGGGTTGACCCCACTGAGTGGGCTACCTGGAGCTACGCGCGCTGGTGACATAGACGCGAGCCTAATCTTCCACTACACCAGTCGGTCTCCAGCGCATATGAGCCACGATCCTAGCATTTCAAAGGAAGTCAAAGTGACAGAAGTTCGAATATTTTCTTTTGTCTGTGAAATGGAAGCTCAAATGCTCATTCTTGACAGGCTGAGGACATCCTCAACTTCAAATCAGGTTGGAAGGCACTCACCGGTACAGCCGACTTCAAAGAGATCACGGAGAAGGCAGATACGAGTGTACTTTCTGATCCTATATCTCGCACCGCAGACCCGAATACGCTTGCATTTCGCATCATGTTAGATCGCATACTCCATTTTGCCGGGGCATATCATCTAGCTCTCCACGGAAACGTCGATGCTCTGGTTTTTGCGGGAGGCGTGGGAGAACGAAGCGCCGAACTGAGACGTGCTGTCGGAGAAGCTGTCGCGTGCCTCGGGTTCGCGGTGATCGACGAGACAAAGAACAGCCAAGTGAATGACGATGAAGGTATCATCGTGGATATCGGCAAGGGTGATGAGAGGAAGAGGATGCTAGTTTGTCACACTGACGAGCAACTTGAGATGGCAATTGAGTGTTCTCTAGCAAACGAATTTTGGGTTTAGCAAGGTACTTCGGGAGTGACGGTGTTTTGCAAGTTGGAGTGGGCCGTATCGTAATAATAACTTATACAAATAAAGACGTGACAGTGGAACTGACACTTGGGCTGAACGTTCTCCCAATGCTAGCATGATCATGGGTCTTCGTCTACTCACTATCGGCGGATCGAGCTTGTCGAAGCCTCAACTCTTGGCAGTGAAAGCTTCACGCGCCAATTGACTGGCCACCCGCGGACTACGAGGCGGCGTCGAGAACCGATGTCAATGTATTCTCCCCCAATAGAAGGAAAACAATCGTTTACCCGTCGGGTCCCGATTCCCCAGGCCCTGGCAATCATCAACAACTCAAGCACGGCGGCAACACATGATACATACAGCGCAGTGTGCACTTGTCACATCTACAGATAATTCATTCCGGGACTACAAGGTGAATAAATACTGCGACCAGGACCCAGGTAAGGAAATAAGCTAGTACTCTTTCGTGCATGATGTATCAGTTCAATAGGTTAAGGACCAGCGCTGGTCAATGATTGCAGGACGCAGGGCTACATAATTGTGGTTTACTTCTTCATCTTCGTCGTTCCCCACCACGTCATGGCTGCCTTCCATACCACAAATGGCAGATTCGGCAACAGAACACCTGGCAAGGGCAAGCCACGTTCGAGTGAACTTTGCTCCTCAATATCAGTCAATCTGCGTTCGTAGTCTAGCTTCGCTTCCCGAGCCCGCTCGCGCGCCTTCGCCAGTTCTTCCTCGAGCTGCTGACTCTTCTTTTCTGTTACTTCTTTTTGACGCGCTTGTTCTGCTAGACTCGCGCTCTGCTCTTCCGATTGAGCAACCAACTGTCTCAGCCGAGCAAGTTCTTCCTCCGTTTGCCTTCGGTGCTCCTCTTCTCGTTTCTTCTGTTCTTCAAGAAGTCTGGCACGCTCCAATTCTTGCGCCTCCTTGGCAGCAGCGGCTTCGCGTTCTGCCTTTGCATGCGCCTCCTCCAGTTCTTTGCGTGCTCGTGCGACTTCTTGCTCCGCCGTCTTCCGTTGTTCCTCCTCGCGATGCTTGGCCAATTCTTGTAGCTCCACGAGACGCGACTGGGTTTCTTCCTCAACTTTCTTGGCGGCAGCGGCCTCCTCCTGCTTACGCGTCTCTTCGGCTTTTGCAGCCTCTTCCATCTCTCGCCGAGTACGCAGGAGCTCGTCTTCGAGCTCTTTCCTGTGGGCTTCTTCCTCGCGAAGTTTGGCTTCATGCTTCTCTGCAAGCAGTTGTACGCGTGCATCTTCTTCAGCCTGCCTAGCCAATGCAGCTTCGCGCTCTCGGGTGGCGTGCGCCTCTTCCATCTCCCGCTGCAGTTGAGCAAGCTCTTCTTCACGTTGTCGTGCTAGCTCTTGATGTTCAAGGAGACGTATTCGGGCGCTTTCGACCGCCTGCTTCGCTGCGACACTCTCGGCCTCTTTTTCTGCGTGGGACGCCTTGACTTCCTCCAATTCTTTCTCTCTCTGCGCAAATTCTTCTTGCAAACGTATTCGTTCCGCTTCCTCCAGAGCACGTTCCCTTTCCGCGGCTTCTATAGCGGACTTCTGTCGTTGCTGCTCAGCCTCTAGTGCTGCCAGCCTGTCCCGCTCTCGCTTGACTTCTTCGGCGTGAGCAATGTCAGCAATCTCTTTTGCGATGCGTGCCTTCTCCATGTCGTCCAGAAGACTTTGGAGGTGCTTCTGGTGATTTTCTTCCGCCAGCATTCTTGTCTTGCGTTCTTCTTCCAACTCGCGAGCGCGCCGTTTGTCCTCTGCCTGCTTGGCTGCAAGAATCTCGTTCTTCCTTTGAACATGCAGAGCTTCCTGTTGCTCTTTCTCAGTCAGGACTTTGGCGACCTCGCCCTGAAGGCTCTCCACCGTCTGTAGTTGCTTCTGCTGCTCGGCTTCCATCCGCAGGATCAGAGCCTCAAGGCGTGCGCGCTCGGCTGTGAATTCGGCTGCCATGTGCTGAGCGTTTTGCTCGATACGCAAGCATTCCTGCTGCTTCTTCTCGAGCTCTTCCTGAAGCTCGGCCCTCGTCTCCTCGTCTTTAGCGCGCATGGCGACCTCCATCTCCGCTTTGAGACTACGGATCTCCTCTTTGTGGTGATCCGCTTGTTCGTCGAGGGCGCGCCTGATCTCAGCGCCCGCAGCGGTCTTCTCAATGGGCTTGTGCTCGTTGACGATTTCCTGCTGAATTCGGAGTGTAGCGGCTTGGCTGTTGATGAGATAACGAAGGGTGGTATGTGCGGACTCGAGGGTGCCATCGTGACGGAGCATCCGAGCGCCCTTCTCAAGTACGGGCTTGAAGAATTTGTCCTTGCTCGCAAGCTCGGCCTCTCTAGCCTCGCCGATCTCACGTTTCACCTCTGACCACATGTTGGTGACAATGATAACGTTTTTGAGCGAGCTCTCTCCGCAAAGCTCGCGGAAGATCTTGAAGTTGCGCTTGGACGTGCCACCCATCCTGAAGTCAGAGATGCGGTGCATGTAGATGACGCCAGCTAGCCTGGTGCCATGCTCGTAGCTGAAGAAATCCAGACGCTTAGCCTGAGGAAATCTATCGCATTGGAATCACGTACGTCTTGGAGAGATATGCGGCGATCATGGTCAAAATGTCCGTATCACTTCGGGTGGTATCATCAAAGCCGGGCGTATCGATTAGGGTCACGAGACGCCCGCTAACGACAAACGGCCGTGAAGTTCGTACTTCACTAGTGCAACTTTCGAGGCCGCGACCAACGGGAAGACTCGACCCGCTAGCCTTATTGATAAACTGTCCGGCGAGAGTAAGCAACACATGGTTCGGAACAAAGAAGCTTTACATACTGTGGATTTACCACTACCGGTAGCGCCCATGACGCTAGAAGGAGCGTTAATTTATCAACCTGAAGACACTGAAAGGTACGTACGCAATCCGGATTTCTCTGCTTGGATTCGCCATTGTTGTAGCTCAGTAATTATCGGTTGTCAATATATGCAAGAGGAGGTACAGTTGTATACTGAGACAGGCAATACGTTGTGCAGGCACTTTGGTTCATGAGTGAGGAACGCGGGTGTTTAAATACGCCTGCGGGCTTATCGATCGAGCACACCCACTTCTTGCGGTGGCATGGTCTTCACGAGGCGCAGCCCCTAACGTGCCTAGCGAAATCCTCGTTGTTTGGAGCCCTATTTAGACGTGATCACCACTAGGAATGAATCTCGGTGTGTTAGTCTGACCTGGAAGCAGCCTCGCTTCGTCCTCGCTGAACGCAATGCTAGTCCATTCTTGAGTACCGTCTCCGTGATATCGGGTAACTACCCTTTAACATTGTCGATCGTTTGAAGCAGTACCACAGCTTCAAGAATCTGATGCTGATCAGGGTTTTGTCGGTTACACACCAATGCATATGGGTATCTTTCTAACACAACTATAGTCCATACTACGCTACGGGCAGGGGGTCAGGATTATCCATATGGTCAGCCAAACGATCTTCGGAACAATTGAATTGCGCCAGTCATCCAGCACGCGCGTGGAGTTGCTCTTCTATTCTCCGAAGTTCTGCTTGATATTCGGATGCTAACGTCGCAGCCTCGTTTTGCACGCGTAAAAGCTCCGCTTCCATTTTCTCCGACTCCTCCTGGAGTTCCATTCGCGTCTCCTCATCTTGCGCCTGAGCAGCTTCCTCCAATTCTCCTCGCAACTTCTCCAGTTCTTGACGGTTCTTCTCTGACTGTTCCATGAGTTCGCGGTTCAGCTGCGCATAGGCACCCGTCTGAGTAATGTCATTCGCTGCTGCGAGTTCGCTTTGGATGCGTAAGACTACGGGATCCGTGCCAGTCAGCTTCTGAATGATCTTGTGCGCACTTTCTTGATCATTCATGTGGCGTAGGAGAAGAGCGCCGTTGTCGAGGATTGGCTTAAAGAATATGTCCTTTTCGCGCAGTTCTTGTTCCCGCGCTACGGCGTCAGCCTCGTTTACGCTGCCCCACATGTTCGTAACCATGAGAACGTTATTGTAAGCCTCTTTACCGCACAACTCTTGAAACATGGTAAAGTCACGTCTTGATGTACCTCCGACTCTGATGTCGGAGATTCGGTGCATGTAAATGACACCGGACAGAAGTTTTTCTTGCTTGTGCCTGGAGGTCTGTCTGTCAGTGCGCTAGGTTACCCAGGATAATATTGGATACGAACATAGTCTGTAGGTAAGCAGCTATCATCTTCAGCACGTCCGTGTCGCTCTTCGTCGTATCGTCAAAGCCAGGCGTATCGACGAGAACGACACGCTTTCCGTCTAGCATGAACGATTGGGATGTCTGTACTTCGTTTGTACAGCTCTCGAGCCCCATACCAACTCGCAAATCCGAGCCAGATGCGACGTTGATGAACTATTCAAACATTTATGAGCGTTGAGGACTGGAGCACAAGGAATATCAGACCGTTGTCTTGCCACTGCCTGTGGCGCCCATTACACTGTGGAGTTGGGCGGGTTAATCACCGCCCGACATCACGATGATGGTTACGTACGCTATGTAGATAGTCTTGGGCTCCTCCGGCTCTGGGCGCAGTAGTTTTGGCTCTGGGGCTTGTTCAAGTTTTGGCGGCTTGGCTTCAACCTGGCCTGCCTCTGGATCCACGAGCTTCTTGCCTCTGGAAGGAATAAAGCAACTGACACATCCACCCATGCTGATGTCGAGGTTGGTCCTGTCTGGTTTTCGTGGGCTACAGTGGTTTTGTAGATCGTAAACACAATATTATCGTGAACGAATGAAGCCTGCAGTTCAACACGTGTTCAACGCATTGTTTCAACGCACTGAGGACGCCATGCACATCGGCCGCAGCCAAGAATCATTACTTCATGCCATGATTGATATTGTGATAGTGTGATGAGGTGCAATTGAGTGAGGCCATGCATCAGGGCGATGAAGACATGCATATGGCCCAGATACCGATACATGACCCGGACGATACTCGGTTGATATACGCATAGTCAACGCCATCCTGATACGAATGGACCTTGAATACATGAGGATCGTGCGTTTAGGGTGGACAACAAAAACACCAAGGCGCTGCCAATGAGGGAATTACCGCAACGTTCCATGGCGCCTCGCGAGAAGGACGTCACGGTGATACATGCGGAAGTTCACCGACCCTTGGTGGTTCCTCGTGGCTGTGGCCGCACCAACTCCAGTGTTAGATCGCCGCGTGTGTTTTGTAATAACTCTGTATTCGGTGACACAGCTAGCGTCGGCGGACCGCGTGTACTAGATTTGCGGGCTCCCGTGATATTTTTGCGGGGATCTCGAAATCGGTGTGAGCCTGTTGTCACTGAACGTGCCATGATTAGCGTGAAGTCCACCCACGCTAGCAAATTTCACAGTCGTGACGAGCTGGGATGCTCACGCCATCCTGGCCCGAGGTCATGCCATTTGGATGGATGGATCTCGGAGAAATGATCAGACAAGTGTCAAAATGGGCAGGAAAAAGTTGGACGTTCAGGGGATTGAACCCTGGACCTTATACAAATTGGATGCTTAGTGCAAAGCATACGCGCTACCACTGCGCTAAACGCCCTTGTATCGTCGTATGACTTCTTGAATTATGTTTATATTAATAATTTTAGACTTTCAGTTGCCACTGAGTTTCATTTATGTAAAGTTGTTAGTCGGGACCTCTATCATGCCGCAAGTGGTTCGATGAGCAATGTCATATATAAAAGAGTTGACCGAAACGTTGTCAATTTGTTCTAGGTACCTGCTAGTGACTTTCATTGGCGTCAGTCTTTGATTTATAGCGCCATGGATCTTGTTCTCCACCTCGCAGATGACTATCTCCTCGACAAAGTATGGGCGCGGCTGCTACCTGTCAACGATCACCTAGTTCAACCGTCATATGCCTCCCTTTCCACTTCTGCAAATTTCACGTCAATCATGCATCTTCAGCAGTCTGCCTGGCCTCGTGATTACATCCCTAGACAAATTATTTCTCTCAGTGTAATCACCCTCTTGGGCATTCACTTCCTCTATTTCCTGTTCGCGTGGCTCTCATACAAATTCATTTTCAATCATGAGATGACGCGCCATCCACGCTTCCTAGAGAACCAGGTCAAACAAGAGATACAATGCAGTCTACGAGCCTTTCCCGCAATGACCCTTCTCACTCTGCCTTGGTTCCAAGCAGAAGTGATGGGTTACTCAAAACTTTACGATAATGTAGAAGATTACGGTTGGGCTTACTTTGTCCTATCAGTACCATTGTCAGTGCTTTCTCTTCCAACCGCAACATATACTCAACATTTATCATTAGCTTCTTGCTTTTCACCGACTACGGAGTTTACTGGACCCACCGACTATTGCATCACCCGAGTATATATAAAACATTCCATAAGTCTCACCATAAGTGGATAAGTATGTTGCTTTGCTCTGCATCCTGTCTTCTTGCGCTTAAATATTTTGGTAGTTCCGACCCCCTTTGCGTCACATGCCTTCCACCCCGTAGACGGCTACCTCCAATCTCTCCCATATTACCTCTTCATATTTATATTCCCTCTTCACCGATGGTTATACCTCGGTCTCTACGTTTTGGTCAATTTCTGGACTATTCTCGTGCGCGCTTTGCATTACTCACATGGACCGCTCTGACGTCAACGACACCAGATTCATGATTCCGATATGGTCACGGGACATGCCCTCGAAAAGGTGATAAATGGACCCGCCCATCACACACTGCATCATCTTTACTTTACGGTCAACTACGGTCAGGTACGCAATATGGTTTATGCTTTTCTCGTGGTTATCCCCTAATACCTCTTTCCCCACGCTCAGTACTTTACGTGGGCAGATCGTGTCGGTGGTTCGTACCGCCAGCCCGAGTCGTCCCTTGATCCCATGCTGGAAATCAAGAAACAGTCATAAATGTTGAATCGTGGATGTGGGCAAAAGTAAAATTCCGGATACTATGGTGCATAACTTTAGATAAGCTCTCAAATGTTAATATACAGCCACTTGGACTTTCCAGCCAGTCCATCTGGGTTACATGATAGCAGTGCAAGATGTTAATAAAATCCTTTGCCAACTACTGAAAAGGGGGCATTTTTGATACTATAGAATACATCTAGATAGCTGATCTAATAAGAAACACATGTTGAAGGGTGTTGTCCTCTAAATCTAGGATTTTGGATGTCATGAGTTAAAACATGTGATCAATATATGTGCATCAAACACATTGTCGTTATTGATGTGTCTCATACTCTCATTCTCTTATATTTTGATATGGATTTGCTACAGTGGCATTCACAGATAGGCATCGTCACGGGTATAACCGTGGGTATCAAGAGCTCTACCCATACCCGTACCTGCAATATACCCGTACCTGTGTACCCGTACCTATGTACCCATGGGCACTGATGGGTACGGGTACCAATGGGTATGGGTCTCAGAATGGGTATCGAGGAGGTAAGCTTTGCATTCATGGGCCACAGGAGATACATGTAAAGTAGTAGTGCTATAATAAAACTATTGAGTCCCATCTTCTTTTTCATCACCCTTGACATCTGGCAAACAAGCTATGGGTAAGACATCCTTATCCTTGACAAGCCTGAGCAGGCTCCAACAACCAAGACACAGGAGTGCACGAGTGGTTTGAGTTGAGAGTCGAGACCATATGTGTGACAACAGCAAGCGACCGCGGGAGAAAACATGCTCAACATCGATGGATGTAGCTATGAATGCAAGGTTAAGAATAGTAGTAAACGAGAAAAAAAACATGCGCACCTGGAATGGTAAGGTAATCAAGAGCCATACATGCTGTCACATCTGCAGTACCTGCTCTCCCCTCCTCAGCAACCGGTGTGGGCAAATGTGATTTGTATGAGCGCTTGTATACTTGATGAACAATATCGTGGGCCATGGAAATCCATTCATCCTGCCATCCTACAGATGTGAAGTAGTCTAGCTTGTAGCATGGGTGTAGGACTGGTGGGGTGCAGGTAAGTTGAGGCAGTGAAGCTACATAAAACACACAATACACGCACCTCTGCAACTTAGAGAAAGACACCCATAATCCCTCTAAAGTCCACACCAACCATGCCAAACGCCCGACGAATGATTGCGGGCTCATATGACAAGACACTTTGTTTGTGGGACTTGAAGACAGGTGTTATGTTGAAGAAGATGGAGGAGAATAGCAGGGTGTGAGCATTGGCGCTATCACAAGATGGACAATTGATAGTAGTAGTCTAGACTCATGTAAGTAGTTAATGCGCTGTAGAGATACAACAATTGCTGGACACTACACAAAGTAAGTAGCCAGCAATATAAAAATGTTGTGGTCGTGCACAGCCTAGTCTGCTTTACTTGCAAGACAAGTGCATTCGACCCGAGGGGTTTGCTGTATGGTATTAGAATAATCAGTTATAACAAAAGGAAGATAGTCCGAAGCATGGGAAACAAAGTCCGAAGGTATAATTACGAGTCCGATGTCAAAAACGTTGGGTCCGATGTTTTCGGGTTTCAGGTTAGTGGGTTTGCCTTGGGTTGCGTCGGGTTAGCGTCAGGTTTGTGTCGGGAATATAGTGAATGTCAGGGATAGCGAATGGCGGGTTACTGTCAGATGTTTCGGATAAAGAAAGGATGATATTGCGGAATCCAACTAAGAAATATGAATATTGGATGACCTCCTCCTACTCGGAGGTAGAAAGGTAAAGTAAATAGGTAGGAGGTATGCGAAATATATAGTATCTATGTAGAATTTCGGAGTGCTATAGGCAAAAGTAGTAGCACTGATTTTCGGGTCCGATGTCCTATGTAATAAGACACAATGTACTGCGGACATGTAATAACACGTTCTACAATGTTAGCGACGTGAAAATGAATAACTGTGCACCTAGTGGGGATAGATACGACAGGACAGGACATAGGGAGGACAAGTGCATGGGAAAATATCGGGTCCGATGCACGGGAAATGTCGGGTCCGTCGGATTAGCATTGGGTTTAGCGGATAAACATCGGATTGAGCGGGTTAGCATCAGATTGAGCGGATGAATGTCGGATAACATCGGGAAGTGATTCGTGTGCGATGGGCATTTGACATGCATCAGAAAATAGCTGAATACATGCTCAGCGTGAGCTCGAGTGCTACAGTGCACCTTACCGCAGACCATGGCAGTTGCCACAGCAGACGACCATATATGGAAGTGGTGGGTACGCGGGTCACGGGTCTCAAAATCCCAACCTGCACCCATATCTGCCAGTACCTGTACCCGTGACCCACCATGGGTTACCTGTACCTGTGCTAATGCCTATTCACAGACCTTTGAATCATCAAGCTATGAGATATTAGATGATGACAGCAACTGGGACACAACTCATCACACAAGTTTGAAGGACTCATATCAAAGCGACTTAGATTTGTGATCACACCATTGTCATGATTTGACCAATTCATCTGGGACTCCACAGACTGCCTTGGATGCTTTTCTTGATTCTGTATTGCCACCAGAAAATTGTTGGACAGGCCCTGGCAATCCCCACCTAATAGGGTGATTACACCCCTACAATTTGGATGGCAATATTCCTGAATCACCCAACTCAGAATTACTCATACTAAATACTCCTGAGGTCCTCTACAAGTGATTTCACAAAGATAAGCTTCAAGTAGTGATGTACAAGGCCTGGCTTCAAGCCCTGGGCCCAAATAAGCTGGGCCCAGCCCTGGCCTACATCATGGCCTGGGTAGGGCTTGTGCCTAGGCTTGGATTTCAAAAAGCCTAAGCTGGTGGCTCAAGCCACAGCTTGGTACATTCAGTGCCACTGCCTTGGGGCATATTCTATTTTTGTCTCTTCATGCTTCTGACTTCTGCCACTGACACTCTTACCAGCTTTGACAACCTATGTGTTGCCATGGAACAGTGAGTCGCCATGTCTTGTGCTTTGGTTATTTGATATTACTCACTCTGCTGTCAAATGTAGCTTGTATCCAAGATTTTCAGAACTTTATACTCCTTTGTGGCCTTATCTTGTATGTTGCATCAAAATGGTCAAGGTGAATCATGGTGTATCTTTGTGCTTTACCAGTTCAATATCACTTACCCTTGCTGTTAGAAAATCAGATCTCAATCATTGCACTAGGCATCAATGAGCCTAGCTGGATATAGGCGAGTGCAACCCAAAAGGATACGAGTGAGCAATGTGTCTGATGTTGGCCAAGAGTTGTCAATATTGCATCTGTCTACTTCTTCATTACTGAAAATTTTCCTGTCTCTGTGTAAGTCCATATCAAGCCTCAAGCTGTTATTCCAGTGCTTCATGTCTCCTGCTTGTCATTATTCACTTTACCCATGACAGGCACAACCTCTATTGATAGAAACAGTGAGTGCCATGATGCACATCCCATATGCGGAACAAAACCTACAGCTGCCCTTCTTCAACATTCTGAGAAAGCAGCACTCCCATCCCAAACTAAGGCCATCAATGACTTTCATGCGGCACAGGCTGCCAAGTGTACCACTGAACATGTCACACTCACCTCCTCCTCCAAAATGACTGAATCTGCATGCAATTCCCTCATACCACTATCATCTGTGCCACCTGCAGCGACTGCTGGCAAAAGGGTGCATCCCAAAGACACCTATGAGGAAGATGAATCTGGAGATGACAAGCATGAAAATGTGCGTACTAATCCCAAGTGTAGAAGGCAGTCCAAATCTGCTCACCTGATCCTGTGGGAATAATACATTACTATTGTAATTACAAGACACATGTTGTGCATTAATCATTGTAATGACTTATGACACATTTACATAATGATAACCATTAATTTTAGTTAGAGGTTGGGGGTTGTATGTTAGATGTTAGAGACACGCTTATCACATTCTGAACCAAGAGGATGCAGACCCTCTTCAACTCACATTTCATTTAGAGGCCATACCATTACTCGAAGCATTTGAGGTCGATCCTCAAGGATTGGAAGTGCGGGATTGGCTATCTGATGCTGCTACTTTATTGGGGGGTTTGTCTGTCCAATTATCATTGTTTCAACATAATATTGAGACTCAGTGATTCCCCTTATTCTTACATTAAGAAATTACTGACTGCATTGACAGGGTGGATGGTGATATTATATTTCCCAAACCAATGACCCTGTTGCAAACGAGCCACCCAGGTTGCCCAAAGAAGATCATAGACCTTGAATTCCTCACTGATGCATTGTCCAACTCTCGACAAATCAAGCTTAGGGAACTGGCAGATATATTAGGAGTTCATAGAAATACATTGCAGCTCTATATGAAATGCCACGGTGTCCAAAGGAAGTACTCTGAACTTATGAATGCTGATCTTGATGTTCTTATCGGGGAGTTCAAGAAAAAGTGCCCCGACTCTGGAATACAATACATTATTGGGTTTCTTTGCAGGCATGGCATCCATGTGCAGCATCATCGAGTGGTACATTCACTTCATTGAGTAGACCAGTTGGGCCAGGTCCTGTGAGATTGACAAGTCAAAAGGTGGTGTAGCACTCGAGCTCGTGCTAGGCTCGTATTCACTGATTTCCTGATACACATCAAATGCTCATCGCACACCAAACATTCCTTGATGAAACCTGATGCTAACCCACTCAATCTGATGCTAATCTGACGTAACCCAACACTTTGACTAGTGGACCCGATGTTTTGGCCGCATTGGCCAACCTGAAATCCTGCGCACTTGTCCTATCCATGTCCCGTCCTGTTTTGCTAGCCCCACTAGGTGCATAGTTGATTATTTCGCACATTACTCATGTTGTAGCCAGCACTATTACATGTTTTCCCATCATCTGCAGTACCTCATGTTTATTTACATGTACTTCGGACCTGAAATATTTGGCCACTACTTTCGCCTATGGGTTTCTGGATTTCTACGTACTTACATATATATTGGACTGACCTCGAGTATTTTCATCATCCAAGTAGTAGGGAGCTGTTTCCCGATACTTAGTGGTCAAACCTGATATTTTGTAGTTCTTAGTTGACATTGCGAATATTACTGTCCTTTCTATCCAAAATACCTCTCATTATCATTAATCCACATACTGCTCGCTTTTCCGACACTCGCTATTGCAATTCCCGCTAACCGCTAAACCCGCTAACTGCTAAACCCAAACCTGAAACCCGAAAACATCGGACCTGACACTTTGGCATCGGACATCATAGATATACCTTTGGACATTGTTTCCCGTGCTCGGACTTTTGACCGTATATTGTTTCACTAACTACAGATCTATTCCAAACACTAGCCCCTCGGGTCGAATGCACTTGCTCTGCAAGTATAGCAGACTAGACTGTGCAAGACCACAACTTTTTATATTTGGCTGAGAGTTTACTATGTGTTCCCTGCTCAGCAATTGTTGTAACTCTACAGCGGTGAAAATATTATGTCAAGCGGCCCAATGCACTCTGGCACATGGATGGTCATCATAAGTTGATTCGATGGGGGATCGTCATTCATGTATTCATTCATGGCTTTTGCAGGACGGTAATTATATGTTTCATCGTTTCTAAAAAAGTAGTTTATAATGCAGCCTCTTTTTCTATCAGATAACAGCACTGAATGCCAGTAATAACAACTGTTCAGCTACCATTTTGGACTTATTCAAACTCGCAATCAGAGAGTATGGTACTCCTTCTCGTGTGCGAGGCGATCACAGTGGAGAAAACCTTGACATCACCACTTCCATGATAATGAGAAATGGACCGCGCCGTGCTTTGTTTATGTGGGGATCATGAGTTTTTCTTTCTCAAATTGTTTTAGCTGCTGACTCCGTACATAAGCTCTACACGAAACTCTCGAATTAAGCAGCTTTGGGTTGAAGTTGGCACTCAGTTTGCTAGGCGATGGAGGGCCTTTTTTGCTCGACTTGAAAATTGGCATATGCTCAACCCTCAGAACACTAATCATCTTTGGTTGCTTCATGCGCTTTTCCTTGATGATATCAATCAGGATTGCTCTGACTTTCAGGCAGAGTGGAATTGCCATCTGATAAGTGGTCCTGACACGAACGACAAGAGTCCAAAGGTAAGCTTGTGGTTGCATTTCAACTTGCCAAAGACCTCAATTTTATCCAGGACCTACAGTTTCTGGGACAGACACTATTCGGTGTTTATCATGACGATTGTGAGGGTGTTCACCCTGATGTGATTGAGGAGTACTATGGTGTTCATGGTCACCCTGCATCCCGACAACCACACCAAACTGGAGCAGGACATCTGCTGATGAGGAAGATGACGCAGATGAACAGTTGCCTGACATCATCGAGTCAATTAATGATCAGCAACGGCAGCATGTCCATCACAAAGCCATCAGAGTTCCTTCACATAACAGCACTTTTGGTACTGACAAAGAAATGCAAGAACAATTTTTTGCTGTTCTTGCTGAAGTTGTCGCAAAGCAAATCATACCAGCATATTGCCAACTGACACCAGATGAATGGGAAGGTGACCAGTATCCTGCCTTTGAGACTATACGTGCTGGTTGACAAGGTGTGAAAGAGGTTCAAGTCTCCCTTGCAGAGCCAATTTGGTTTCATCAAGCAAAATTATGGTGTCAAGCCTTACTAGTTTTAACTACATTTTTAGCCGATAGGGATTAGTCAGAACATGTGCTTGTCGAATGTTGAATAAATTTGAATTGTAACTTAATTTTCACGTGTTGAAGTTGTTCCTATACCTCAAACTTCCCTTATGCAACTTGCTTGACCTGTCCCACATGCAACAGTATGAACCGGTGTAGCACTCGAGCTCGCGCTAGGCTCGTATTCAGCTATTTTCCCATACATGTCAAACACACAAATCACTTCCAATGTTATCCGACACTCATCTGCTCAATCCAATGTTTATCCGCTAAACCCGACACTAATCCGACGAACCCGACATTTCCCACGCATCGGACCCAACGGACCCAATATTTTCCCGCGCACTTGTCCTCCCTATGTCCTGTCCTGTCGTATCTATCCCCACTAGGTGCACAGTTATTCATTTTCACGTCGCTAACATTGTAGAACGTGTTATTACATGTCTGCAGTACATTGTGTCTTATTACATAGGACATCGGACCCGAAAATCAGTGCTACTACTTTTACCTATAGCACTCTGAAATTCTACATAGATACTATATATTTCGCATACCTCCTACCTATTTACTTTACCTTTCTACCTCCGAGTAGGAGGAGGTCATCCGATATTCGTAGTTCTTAGTTGGATTCTGCAATATCATCCTTTCTTTATCTGAACATGGATCCAGTAAACATCCTCGGACTCAGAGGATAGTAGACACTGAACATTCCAAAACACCCCAGGACGAAGAGGCTTGCCCATGTTCCTCCAGTACTACTGCAGTGAAAGAGATCTTTAACTGTGTAACTGCAAAGTGGGGAGGCTCAATTCTCTCAACTAAAGCTGCCAGAGAGGAGGTGTTGTCAACACTTGCTTCTACCCGTCTCGTGAATTACAGTAAACTGTCAAAGGGCCCAGGACCATCAACCAGCTTGCAAAAGGTAATGCACTGCCAATATACTAACAAAATTTATCTGCATAGTATTCATGATTTGCTCTAGACTCAGTGTGGGTACAACAATTTTGATGGTGATTCAGAACAATGTGTTGGGTCTTGCAGAACCTAGCTGCTATTCGACCCTAAAGGGTTTCTGGACCAGGCTAAGGCTCAGAGGAGAGGAAATATGATAAGAACTTGCTGAAGACTCAGACTCATACTAGTACTGGTGAAAAAGTAACTTTTTTATGTAAGCTATGGTGCAAACATAACACTAAGTAAAACAGCCTCTACAAGCCTAGCCAGGAATCAGTCCCTACATCAGAGGGATACGACTAGTTCACAACCTACCAGAAGCCAGGCAAGATGGAGTACCACCATGACATCTGGAACATCTACTTTTTGTGTCGCATCAGTTGGCATAATCATTTGCGGTGTTGATGTGAGTCACAAACCTTCACTAACACTCAAAAAATCACTGATATCCCTTCAGAGACATGGTGTCATTAGAGTGTCAAAAGCTCCATCTAAGAATGGTATGAATGAGATCCAGGCCATGAAGAATCATGGATGTTATGTGGACGAACAAGCGACATTTCATCATGATTGGTCTTACTCCAGAATCACTCAACTGTGATGCAAGTTATTTCCAAAGGTCTTCAATTATCTGGACACAGAGAGGTCCAGAAATGTGTCGTTGTCACAGTCAGCGAGCCAGGATGAGAAGCTGGTTTGGAGGCTTTTAAACAAAAGCGGGCAAGTATTGACTGTCATCGACATTGCATGTCTGACTGGAACAGACTTAGCCAAGCACAAGGGCCGGGACAAAGCAAGCATAACAGAATCTCACCTTTGGTTTGGTGCAGTTGCCACTATATACACCTGACCGCTGTGCTAATAACTCGTGTTAGTCACCAGGAACCATATTCCAGACACTGTGTATGAATCCTGGAACACCCAGCCCATTATAGCTGGTTCAGATTCCAAAAACAATGGTGACAGTTCAGAGCTTTTCTCTGACATAGACAGCATCAGAGATGATGTCAACCATAACCCCGAACTTGCTAGCTCCTTAATGGAGATGGATTTGAGCGATTCTGGAGACATTCACACCGACTACAAAGGCAAAGGTAAGATGAGGATCTTGAAGACACCAATGGTCAATGGTAGGTCTACATTCTGTTCCAGTTGACTCGGACAAAAAAACTGACAATTGTGTATCTAGCCAAACAGACTCACACAGCTGCACTCTCCCCTGATGAATCACCAACAAATCAAAGAGTAGCAGTGAAAAGACTCAAGAGTGGTAAGTTGTCCCCACTGCCTTTTATAACATAAATCTGGACTCACATTTTTCATTCATTAGAAATGACTACCACCATCTCACGTCTCCTGCCTTTGGAGTCCCCTCCTTCACTCAGTCAGCTGAGTGTTCCAAGTGCACCAGCTGCATGCACTACTTTCCCTGAATTATCCTATCCAGTTATGATTGTCTCTGTGAGCGATGATGATATTTTATGGCGCAACCAGCCTCGACCTGACGACCCTTTTGCACTGGCGATAGGATTTGACAGGGGTAAACCCGCGGGTGCGACGACCTCAACCCGCACCCGCCGACTACCCGTACCGCTCTACCCAAGGGTCCTTAGGGGTGCGGGTCATACAAGGGTCATGCATGGGTAATGGGTACCACGGTGTAGAGACTCGTGCCTCTCATTGTGCAATATTGCAGTTTTCACTAGGGAGTACATGGCACGAACTTGTAGCATCACTCTGTATGCTATCCACAGCTATTCCTACATGAGGCGCAGCTTTCCCGCGCAACGCGCAACTCGTGTGCATACCTTTCCCGCGCTTCACGATGTATATGCGCGCGCGCTTTCCTGCGCTTGAGCGCCCTATAGCGCCAGCCACCCGGAAGCATCCATCCACTGTCCACCAAGTTCCCTAGTGCGTATATTTCCATTTCTCACATTTGCATATCGTTCCATCTTTATTTTTATCATGGACCCTTACTTACATATATCCTTACATACCTTACTCGGTAGTGCTTCGGCTCTGCATGACAGCGCTTAGGCGCCATACTTAAGCACCAGCAGTACATACTATTACTGACTTACTCACCCACCAGAACGACAGAGGACTGAACCAGAACAATACCCATTTACTACCCAGCAGAGCATAGTTGAAATCTATTCCTTGACACCTCGCATATAACATCTCTCAGCTTGCATCTCTTACCTCTTGTCTAGTGTCTAATCATCACTTAAGCAAACTCACTCTTACTTTCATTTGTTTCTGCATACACACGCGCGCATTCCCGCGCTTCGCGCCTCGCGCGCACCTGCGCTTTCCCACGCTTCGCATTCGCCAACCAGTAGCGCCTACTACTAGATCCTTGCTGCACTCGCTTCCCCTTTAGGGTCGAACACACTTGTCGTCTCAAGTATAGCAGACTAGGCAATGCACGACCTTACAACATTTATAGATATAGTCAGGAGCACTGTTTGTGCCTCGCTGAATCGTTGAACCTTCAATGGGTATACATATACCTGTGGTACATCAAGTCTATAGCTCGCTGTAACAACAATGTAGTAGTAAAATGTTAATGAAGGGTAATGCTATCCCATCTGTTGTCAAGTTCCTCATCCTCCCCATCTACATCTGGGAGGCTCGCCACTGAATCGATGTCCTTATCTTTTACTAGCCCCAGTTGGCTCCATAATCCAAGACACAGTAGAGCTCGAGTGGTCTGGGCAGAAAGACGGTTTCAGGTGTGTGATAGAAGTAGCCGCCCACGGCTGAAAATCCGTTCAACATCAATGGATGTTGCTGCAGAGACACGTTAGAGCCAGAAAAAAACAGACATGAAAAACATACCCGGAATAGTGAGATAATTCAGTGCCATTTGAGATAAGCGGGGGTAAGTCTTGCAGCGTCCATGCCACCAGGCAATTGCATCTGCAATGTGTTTGACATCGGCGCTGAGGTAACTCTCGAGTTCGTCGGAACTGGCAAGAGTCTTGACATGCACAAGCGTTGGTAGGTGATTGAAGATATTGCCTGAATCATCATCCTGTGCGTCAGAGTACATTATTACTAGTTAGTAGCACAACACAGAATGACAAGTGTTAGTACACACCTCGTCGATGGCATCAGTTACTGCATCACTAGTGGATTCCTCGGCTGCTGAAGCAGAAGCATATGAACACTTGAATTCCGAACGCACGAGTTCCTCGGCAGTGTCAATCCATTCTTGCTGCCAGCCTGCAGCCTTGAAGTAAGTTAACTTGTGGGAGGGATGGAGAACTACAACATAATGAGCAAAAAAAAAACATAGAAAACATTAGTACGCACCCATTGCAATACGGTAAGCTTCAGATGCATCAGTCAGTGAGTAATATCGATTAAGGGTTCGTTTCGCCAGTCCAAGACCAGCGCGGATTGCAGGGTCAAGCCGGTCTTTCTTGAGAATGCTGCTTGTGAAAACACTGTCAATGTGATCCATGGCAGGGATCACCATTGGCAGGTTTGGCATGGAACGGGAAAAGTACAGAGTGGTGTCTTTGAGGATCTAACATGCGGTGAGTGTGATGTGTGACTTGTCACATGTTACTCACCTTGAGTACATCACGCAACTGTTTAACAAGCGTCCACTCATATGATGTCAGCTCATACTCACCAAGTCCCAGTCTCCGCTGGTCCGTCATTGCATCAAGACCTTTCTGGTACTCAAATGCAAAACTCAACATGTCGTAAGTGGAATTCCAACGTGTGGACACATCATGCGGCATGATTCTAACAGGCAGTTTTAGATCTGCAAGGACGGCCTTCCATGCAGGCAGCAGTATAGTGGTGGAATGAAGGATTTTGAATGCAAGTTTGCGAAGCTGTCAGGGGGTATCAGTTAGGGGATGTGAGGTAAGTGCAACAATTATCACCTTGATCAGTACAATTCTGATTGGGCAGATACTGCATAATAGCTTGGCACGCTCCTGTGGACTTAGCAGTGACACCTCATCCACCCATCCTTCGACATCATCATCTTCCTCGGCATCTTTGTTTGAGTCATCAATGATTGTTTGCAAGTCCTCAAGATCCATGGTATCCTCAGTGAGTTCATCTAAATGTTCCTCTTCCTCTGTGCTACTACCTTCCTCCGCACTATCAGATGACTTTTTTTTTTCAAACTCCCGGAGCAACGACTTAGCAACGAGATTGACTATGTGGAGGAAACATCGTGATCGGTTCGTTTCACCACCAAACTTCGGCAGAATTTTTGCAAGTTCTGCAATGAGCATGTCATTGGATGATGCGTTGTCTGCAGCAATGATCAATATCTGTCATGATGAACCTGGTGAGTTCTTTCCCAATGATATGCAAGTTCCTCACACCTTGTCTGATATACCAAATTCCTCTAGGATATCTGTGAATGCCTGTGCTAAATTAGCACCTGTGTGTGACTATCACGAGTCAGTATCAGGTATGTGTGCATTTCAGTATGTTACCTTTGAAACCTCAATAATGTCTAGTATCATAGATAGTGGCTGACCCTCGTGCTCAAGATGCACAGAGAGTGCAACATATGCCCTGTGATTTGGCAAAGTCCATGCATTGGTCGTGAAGTTAAGCTTGCCCGCATAGTCCTTGTAAGTCGTTTCATTAATTCACCATTTATTGCTTTGAGGTTAATGAATCACCTGTAGCATTCTTGCTATCCATTGATGTGTTCGAATGAACACTTGTCTGACATCACGTGCAACAGTTTTTGGTGATGGGATGTAGTATTCAGGACGCCCTGTCTTCATAAGTGAGCTGAAACCTCTGTCCTTTACTATTTTGAATGATCGCAGGCTCTCTGATACCCATCAGACGATCTCAGCACTTTGATACATTGATTAATAGCAATCTCAAGATTGAGAGAGATGTTGTCATGCACCGTTGAAGGTTCAACGATACAGCGAGGCACGAACAATGCTCCTGGTTGTATCTATAAATGTTGTAAGGTCGCGCGTTGCCTAGTCTGCTATACTTGAGACGACAAGTGCGTTCGACCCTAAAGGGGAAGCGAGTGCAGCAAGGATCTAGAGGTATGCGCTGAAAGCGCTACTGGTTGGCCAATGCGAAGCGCGAGAAAGCGCAGGTGCGCGCAAGGCGCGGGAATGCGCGCGTGTATGGCGCGAAGCGCGGGAAAGCGTGCGCGTGTATACAGATATGAGAGAGAGTAAGAGAGAGTTTGCTTAAGTGATGATATGATGTAAGACAAGAGAAGGGAGATGCGAGGTGTAAACAAATAGATTTCTACTATGTTCTGCTAGGTAAATAGTGGGTAGTAACCAGTAAGTCCTCTGTCGTTCTGGTGGGAGAGTAAGTTTTTTTGTAAGTATGTACTGCTGGTGCTTAAGTATGGCGCCTAAGCGCTGTCATGCGGAGCCGAAGCGCTACCGAGTAAGGTATGTAAAGATATATGTAAGTAAGGGTCCATGATAAAAATAAAGATGGAACGATATGCAAATGTGAGAAATGGAAATATACGCACTAGGGAACTTGGTGGACAGTGGATGGATGCTTCCGGATGGCTGGCGCTATAGGGCGCTCAAGCGCGGGAAAGCGCGCGCGCATATACATCGTGAAGCGCGGGAAAGGTACGCGCGCATGGCGCGCGTTGCGCGGGAAAGCTGCGCCTCATATAGAGATAGCTGTGGGTAGCACACAGAGTGATGCTACAAGTTCGTGCCATGTACTCCCCAGTGAAAACTGCCATATTGCACAATGAGAGGCATGAGTCTCTACACCGTGTCTCCGCACAGGTGTATTGACAATGAGAGTAAGTGACTTTGCCCTTGCCTTTTTGATCAAATGATGTCTTGATTGATCCTGTTTCTAATAGGCTTTAAATTGGCCCATCTCGAGCAGCTGTTGTATTGCCGCAATCCATGGCTGCTTGCAATGCTGCTTCTCCCCAGCAGCTTCTAACATGTTTGCATAGGTTTCCAGTAGATCTGGCATCTTTCTTGTCAAGGTATCAGCGGACACGATGCTTGCAGCCCGAGGCAGCACACTTGAAAACATGACACCGGTGCTGGTCGTGATATTCAATGGTTGGCATTGGTTCGAAAAATGCATAAATCGGTGAGGACCATTCTTTCATGACTCTTTCTATCACCATGTAGGATTAGGACTGATACAAGAATTAGGGAATATAGTACCCAGCTCCGCATCAGATGATTCCGAGGCTTCTTCTTCGGAACTATGCTTGGCTTTATCTTGGTCATCATCCGACGAGCCAATCACAATGGCATCTCTGTGAAGTGCCTCTTCTTCTTCTTCAGTCCGTACCGTGGTTCAATAGTTAGTTGGTGAAGGGCTTTTAGTGGTTTGATCAATAGATGCTGTTGTCTTGCTTCGTTTTGGTGCTACAGTTGTGTCAGAAGCCTGGTCAGTGGCTTTCCTCTTGACTTGGCCCTTGGCTGCCATAGCCAGTGCCTTCTCAGTAGGCCTTTTGGTCCTTTTAGGTAACATAGGAAGTTCTGTGAGGTATGTGTGATGAAGTGGTGATATGGTGTATTTAGAATTACAGATTTAAGGTTTTTTTTTCTAAATGGAGTGACTCCATGAGGTATGTGTGACGAAGTGGTATTTAGAGTTACAGATCTAAGGTTTTTTGTCTAAATGGAGTGACATAAGGTACCCATCAATAATCCAGGGGTACAGGGGTCATGAGATCCCTACCCATACCCCTACCCCTCAGTACCCCTACCCATGACCCCCAGGGGTCACCCATACCCCTGTCCATCCCTAACTGGCGATAGTTAATCTCTGGGAATCCGAATATGCTATTAGGCCCGTCCATTATCTCATTTGATGCTTTGATGTTTCAGTTTCTTGTCTACATGTTTAATTGCACTTTTTTTTGCTTTTTTTGCACTATACTTCACTACTGCAGCATGATACTTACAATACTGTATAGCTACGCACTTAAGTTCGACCTGATATGGGTGTGACCAAATGAACATTAGGTTCGAAAGTTCGAAGGGGTGTGTGACGTGTGACATGCTGCGCATAGGTTCGTTGTGTGAGACGACCGACTGGGCTGGGAGTCTCATTAGGCAGACGTATTCCTTTCTTTGTACGAGCGTAGAGATGCCCGCACTCAACCTGGAGACTCCATCGCTAGCGCTCACCCCTCGGAGCTTCGTTTGCAAGTTCAATTCCGTTCGGCATGAATTATCAATCCCTGATGGCTACAGCGCTGATGGATTGGGTAATCTGCTGGCGGACAATGAGTCGGAGAGCTATGAACGAGCACCAGATGATACAGAGCCTGAATTTACAGCCATGACCACTGACGGTTCGAAGGAGGTTGATGTTGAGGGTTGCGGCAAGCGCAGACGCATTGCAAATACTCAGTATAAGGACTTTTGGCAGCACTAGGACTTTTTTCGTGTTTTTACTGCATGTTTTCGTGTTTTTACCGCATGTCACAACTTAAGTTCGATGACCTCAATTTGAGTGTGACTGTCACACGAAATAGGTTCGGTTCGCTCGCCCTGTGATGGTGTGACGAACTTAAGTGCGTAGCTATACAGTACTCTTTGAGCTGAATGACTCAGGCATTGACCACTAATGATTTTGCACTGTCATTACATCTACATACGACAAGGACAATAGCATCCCCCTTCTTTGCTTTGATGTTGACCATTTGATGTGCCAGGTAGTAGGGGGACACATTGTAGAAGATAATGCAGCCCTCCAAAAAATACTAGCAAAAAGTGTACATGGTGAGAGTCTGAGTCACTGATTGAACGGGCAGCACACAAAAAGAGTACATGGCAACAGTCTGAGTCACTGATTGAACGGGCAGTGCGCAGATGTCACAACAGGTACTAAACAGGCAATGACAAACAAGTCACCAAAATGCGCAGCGCGCAAGGTGCTCAATACGCAATAATAAATGTGCACCTATAATGTCATACAAGAGTAGTAATAAGGGAGAGACAACTGATAACATTTGGATCTTTCTTGAGAAGTCACAGTAAGTTATAAAATGTGCCCATGTCTGGCAGTGACAGCATGCAGGCAGCAGGACAGAATGACTTCAGGACGGACGCGTAGGCGGACGGACCCGTAGACCGCCGAACACGGACTGCCGGACATTCGAATTCCCAGACTTTCTGACAATTTTAGACTTTCAGTTGCCGCTGAATTTCATTTGAAGTTGAAATTAAATTGGCCATGTTAGGATGCTTTGTCATGCCGTCGGTCAGAAAAGTGGTTCGATGAGCATGTCATATATAAAAGAGTTGACCGAAACGTTGTCAGTTTGTTCTAGGTACCTGCTGGTTAGGTCAAGTGACTTTCAAGCGTCAGTCTTTGATTTATAGGCGCCATGGATCTTGTTCTCCACCTCGCAGATGACTATCTCCTCGACAAAGTATGGGCGCGGCTGCTACCTGTCAATGATCACCTAGTTCAACCGTCATACGCCTCCCTTTCCACTTCTGCAAACTTCACGTCAATCATGCATCTTCAGCAGTCTGCCTGGCCTCGTGATTACATCCCTAGACAAATTATTTCTCTCAGTGTAATCACCCTCTTGGGCATTCACTTCCTCTATTTCCTGTTCGCGTGGCTCTCATACAGATTCATTTTCAATCATGAGATGACGCGCCATCCACGCTTCCTAGAGAAGCAGGTCAAACAAGAGATACAATGCAGTCTACGAGCCTTTCCCGCAATGACCCTTCTCACTCTGCCTTGGTTCCAAGCAGAAGTGATGGGTTACTCAAAACTTTACGATAATGTAGAAGATTACGGTTGGGCGTACTTTGCCCTATCAGTACCATTGTCAGTGCTTTCTCTTCCAACCGTAACATATACTCAACATTTATCATTAGCTTCTTGCTTTTCACCGACTATGGAATTTACTGGGTCCACCGACTATTGCATCACCCGAGTATATATAAAACATTCCATAAGCCTCACCACAAGTGGATAAGTATGTTGCCTTGCTCTGCATCCCGTCGTCGTGCACTCAAATATTTTGGTAGTTCCGACCCCCTTTGCGTCTCATGCCTTCCACCCTGTAGACGGCTACCTCCAATCTGTCCCATATCACCTCTTCATATTTATATTCCCTCTTCACCGATGGTTATACCTCGGTCTCTTCGTTTTCGTCAATTTCTGGAGCATTCTCGTGCGTGCTTTGCATTACTCACATGGACCACTCTGACGTCAACGACACCAGATTCATGATTCCGATATGGTCACGGGACATGCCCTCGAAAAGGTGATAAATGGACCCGCCCATCACACACTGCATCATCTTTACTTTACGGTCAACTACGGTCAGGTACGCAATATGGTTTATGCTTTTTTCGTGGTCATCCCCTAATACCTCTTTCCTCACGCTCAGTACTTTACGTGGGCAGATCGTGTCGGTGGTTCGTACCGCCAGCCCGAGTCGTCCCTTGATCCCATGCTGGAAATCAAGAAACAGTCATAAAAACGATGATCACGATGATCGCGGTGAACCTATTTATCATCCAATTATAGACTGTCACGTACCCTTGCCCAGTGACTACTACTCGCTGAAGTTAATACGTTTCTACATACTACATACTTGTTTGCTTTTCATTGAAACCACTCATACTATCAATGAAATAGTATCCGTCTCTTCGTTTGGAAGAGAAACATAACTGCCACTCTATTAATGCAACATCGAGACATCGACATATGGATGTAGATAGCGTACTACTCAAAAGCAACTCAAAGACTGTCCCGACGCCTCAATCTCGCCTACTTCTTTGGCCGCCTCTTGACCTCATCGTCCTTGCAAGCATGTAACATGAGTTTGTTGGGATGTCCAGGCGTCATGCCGCTGTGACCTTTAGACCAGTCGTATGAGACAGCGTATGCAAAGATCGTGCCGTTTCGATTGAATGTAGTAGCACTGATCGGCCCAGGGGCTGCTTCGAAAGCTATAGAAGTATGATCAGTACAATGGTAAACAGCCGGTAATTAGAGTGGGTATACTCTTTAGTCGTGTACGGGCGTCTTTGTCCCAGAAGTGGATAGTTCCATCAGAGCCTGGGTCGTCCAAATCAGACCAGTCACATGGAACTAGAAGCCTCGAGGCTTACCGCAAGTAGAGAAAGTTCCGTGCACAGGATGGAAGGATATGTCATTGACGGCGTACACGAGGGACTGGTCCTTGGCGTTCGGTGTCTGGTCTTTTCGATGGCACTTGAATGAAAAATTGTTCCTGTACAGCACGTGAATGAAGGCATGAGCGAAACTATGAAATACCCATACGAGCTGTCTTTTTCTTCAACGTATCTGTGAGATGATGAGCGCCTGAAGACCAATCATCTGATGAAATTACGTACTGGATGGCCACACGACCTTCCACACTACCCACAGCAAACCCGCTGCTAGCGGAGTTGGTGAAGCATGAAACAACGCGCGTTTGCCATTTGAGGGGGGAAGTGATGGTCTAAATGGCATATATAGGTCATGTGAGGACATCAAGTGAACCTCGTGGACATACCTTATATGCTGTGTTTGGGTTTGTGAGATTGAAAATCTGGATATTGCGTTCGGCTGTAGCAACTACCATGAGCGGATATTGCACATCCATGCTGTAGCAGCGCTCAGGTAGTTGAACGGTGGCAACGGGAGTTGGCGAGCGCATATCCCAATACTATGGTGGTAAACGATAACGCGAGTTATGAGACACATGCACATGTTACGAGGATTACAAGAAGCTTACTTTGACGGTCTTATCCCAACTGCCAGTGGCTAGAATGCCACCTTGTGGTGTCTCTATCCATTTTACGACCTTCACAGGGGCATCGTGCTGTGCCACTTGCTGTGATTGTCCATTCGTGATATCAAACATGCGTGCGGCATTGTCCGCACCCCCCGAAATAACTTTGTTACCCTCCTAGAGGCCAAAGAAACAATTCAGCCAGGTCAGGTGAAACCAAAGAAAGTACGAGCGCACCTTGTTCCAACACACGCTCAACACAGGTCCTTGGTGACCAAACATGGCCTTGCCTTGGGTCTGCCCTCCAGCGCCAACTTCATACAAACGTACCTATCGATGGATCGATTACGCGTCAAACCGAGGCCAGATAACGTCTAAAAACACCTACATTGTTGTCCCAGCTTCCTACAGCTAGATAGTCTGCTGCAGGGGAGAACGCTAAGGAAGAGATGGAGTCAGTCGGTGTCTCCGGAACTTCGATATCCTTTTCTGCAGGCGCCGCTGGTGCTGTCGTTGTCGTGTTAGTTCCAAAAAATGACATGATGTCTCAGTCAATGACAGTTGGAACTGAGAAGATTGCAAAGGTGCAATTCTAAGGAGCAATTCAGTTTCAGTGCAACAAGTCAGACCAAAGCTGTGGCGTGGTAATTTCGGGTCGCGCTGTAATCAATGTCAAGGTCTGGGAGCAAGCATGGCGGGTTGGCGTAATGGTAACGCGCTAGTTTCCGGTTTGTGATCGCTAGAGATTCTGGGTTCGAGTCCCAGGCCTGTCGCTTTTTGCTTATCTCGTCACGTAATGGCTACAAATATGCATGGGCTAATGATACAAAATTCAAAAATACAACTAACATCAGACTCTTAGCTACAATACATAGGAGACTAGTGAAACTCATGTCGAGCGTTGTCTCTAATCAAATTTTGGAGTATCAAACGTGCCTTCAGGATCTGAATATGCACAATCAGATGTGGGTACAAGAAAGATTGACCGCTAGGTTACTCACCCATTCCGTGAGCAAAAATATACTTTGTGTCTTCTTTGGCCATGTCCATGAGGGCGTTCGCGTCAGCCTCTGGATCCTTTGAAAAATTCGCATTGAATCGAGCACCAGCACGGATGGCGGCTGCGGCAACGTGATACCGGGACGTATGATTACAAAGCATCATCTGTGCAAATCATGGTCAAAATTAGGGGTAACTGATTCTTGCGAATAACGCACATCGAATGGTGAGGTCGTCGTTCCCTCCTCACGATATCCCTCGATGGCGGTTCTGTCCACGGCAGGTCTACCAAATAGCAAACCTTTCACTTCGATGGGGTAGCCATGGTAGTTGATAATGATATTCTTGTCCTTGGTAAAAAGTGTGTCAAAATCATCGGCGCTCAAGGCATGCGGGTGGCTGCCATGGGGCCCAAGAATCATGAGGTCGGTGACGTTGACGACGCGCACTCGCAGAGTGGGAGCCATCTTGCGAAGGAGTGCAGCAGCCGCTATAACTTCGAATGTCACTTCGACACCGATACCAACGAGGACGCTTGTTACCTCAAATCAGCTCAAGCTCCACCACTACAAAAGGAAAATACTCACACATCCGGATTCAAGCCATCGTCGACGCTTGCAAATTTCCATATAGACGAGCCTGCAACGCAGTGCTGTCTGACTTGAGCGAAATATGAGCAAAAAATAGGAGGGATCACCTCACTTTGTTCGCTTCTTCAGGGCTCAGCCAGACAGGCGTGAGGTGCTTGCTACCAACCATCAAGTTCACATAGTTCTTCGCCCTCAAGCAATGGGACATTGTGGACAAGAAGCAATTTGCATCAGGCGGCAGGTACACACGGGCCAGCGCCGGCTTCAAATTAAGGACGGCACCGATGAAAGACGGGTTCTGATGAGAAAAGCCATTATGGTCCTGACGTGCCCATGTAGATGTCTCCAGATAATTAACGGAACCAACATCGTGCCTCCAAACAGTCTCATGGGCCTGGGAAGGAAGATATGAGCTGCATTAATTGGCCCATTTAGAGTATCAACGGACCATCTTCGTGAACTTGCTATACTGCACCATCATGGTGTGTACAATGCCAAGGAAAGCCTCATAGCTCGGAAAGAGCGCAGTCCTGCCAGTAAGTGTGTACCCTTGCAACATGCCTTGGCAGGTATGCTCAGACAATATTTCGATGACGCGCCCGCCGTTACCGCGTGAATTTTCGTCCCACTGGAGATTGCGTCCGGTGACATCAAACACGCCGTCTAGCTTGTTAGACACGAGTTCATCAGGGGAGAAAATCCGGAAGGTGTTTCGGTTGCTAGAAGAGAATGAATAAGAGCTAGACATGTAATTGAAAGACATACTTGTCAATCGTATCCTTCAACAACTTTCCGACTATGATCATGCAACTTTCCTGCGATCCCTTTTGAACCCCAAAACCAGTCCAATCTGGAACTTTAATGGGCTGGAAAGCGGCGTGTGCTTCCTTCCTGCAACCAAGCTTTTTATCCTTTCTGTCAGGAACGATGCTTAGCAACTCTTCAGTAGGTGCACCCTCCACCACCCCTCTGCTGCCTTTGGTAGCGAAGAGCTCATGAGGACCATAGCTTTGAAGCCAATCCTGTAGGGCTTGAAGCTCCTCCTGTGACGTCTTGGCCTGTGGAAGTGGCACTTGGTGTGAGCGGAATGACCCTTCGATGAACTCGTTATGCATCATCTTTGGACAGGTCCAACCCTTTGGGGTGCGGAGGATCAAGACAGGCCAGCGCGGCTTGAAAATAGGCGTCCCGGCGCGAGCCGCCCTTTGAATACGGGAGATTTCATCGAGTGCCCACTCCATAGACGCAGCCAAATCCTGATCAATATGTTCCAAGTTACTGACAATGCGGACCTGATAACCGTAACCGCTGAAATGAATACGTCAGACTTGAAGAATATATGTCGCAGTCTACCCCAGACCTGAACAGGGCTATGAGCTCTTTGTCGTCCATGCATCCGTAAATGGTACGTTCGGAGATCTTGAACCCATTAAGATGCACAACAGGGAGAACCGCACCAGATTCTCTGGGATCGATGTACTTGTACCCATGCCAGGCAGTGGCGGTCGGACCGGTTTCGGCCTCACCATCACCGACAACACAGGTAACAACAAGATGAGGATTGTCCATAACAGCACCAAACGCGACACTGAGAGCGTAGCCGAGTTCACCACCCTCATGAATGGATCCCGGGGTTTCGGCATTGATATGGCTGGTATACAATAGTGAGATAATAAGACAATGCCAGCACCAGAATGTTCAAATTGGCGAACCTTGGGAAACCTCCAGGCGCACTAAATTTTGTGATGAGCCTTGTTAAGCCGGAGCGATCACGCGTGTAATGCTCCCAGAAGGGAGATAAAGAGTCTTCGAGCCACAAGGACGCCAAGATGGCAGGTGCTCCATGACCTGACAGTGAAAGAGAGTTAACAACTGTCTTGACAATCACGTGATGCATGAATATATGGGCATGAATCGTGAATATTTGAATCATGATGCATGATGATGTGTAGCGTGCATGCGCGTTGCATCATTACTATGTGTTGCGGCTGAAAATAAGGTAAACAAAAATTGACTCACCTGGGCCGACCACCAGCAAGGAGTCAATACCGGACTTCTTTATGATCCTGTTGAGGTGCGCATATACCAAGACCAGACCGGGGCAAGTACCCCAATGACCAAGAAGCCTCGGTTTGATGTCATCAAAAGTTAACTGGCGCTCAAGTAGGATATTATCCTTTAAGAAAATCATCGCTATCGAAGTCATTTAATAGATTTTACGCGCTGAGGGTACCGACATACCAGCGGCAATGTAGTGGGCTGCTCGCCTGAACTTCTGAATTGCATGGAGCTCGGACGTCGTAAGGAACTCGGACTCTATCGTAAGGAACTTTTTTGTGTCAAATTGAATAGCAGCGTCGCGAATCGACTCGGGGAGATGAGAGGGGCCTGGGGGAGGGTTTGGCTGGCTAATTATCTGGCCAGGCATTATGTCGGGTGACCTCAACAAATTCTAGGTGTGGAAATGCTGATACTATCGTTTTTTAAAGTAGTGCTTGTTCGTGGTCGTGGACGGAGGTGTGTTCCTTCCATCGACCCGCATTATAAGGAGTAATTTAAAGGGGCTTCCGGGGGAATTTGACGCAATGGTTATTTCATCGATTTCTCTGATTCGAGAGCTACCACAGGTTTTTGCAAGGCTAGATAGTCATACGTGATATGTTTAATTCATTCTCGCAAGTCGACGTTGAGGAATTCTCCAGCGAGCGCTTGGTGTACCTGATAGGGGCTATTACCTGGTTTGGAAATAAATAACCCCTCTCTATGCCGGTGGCATGCGATGCTAAAATAGGTCAGGTCATCGCATGCCATCTCTAGCGCTAACTCTCTCGTGAAAGACAGAAATATATAGTCCATAGGCTTACCATCGAAACAAAGATGACCTTGAAAGTTTTTATAACATTATCCTACAAACTGCTAGATATATAGAGTACATGTTCAAAAAACGAGGCATGTATTTATTATAACGATCATAATCTTGATGTGAGTTATACTAGTAGTGAGTTACATATAGAAGCAAGAATGTCCCCTCAGACTTCGAGTGATTCTGCGTGACATGAGTGACCTTTTAACAAAACAGATAGAAAGGCGGACTACTCACGGAACGGGCGTTTGCTCACAGTGCACGGGTGCTCTGCGAGTAGTACTTGAGCTCTTCACGCCCCCTCGAATGAATGAAGTCGGTCTACCAGGAATGCGGCACATTGTATCGAACAATCAAGACTGTATCAACAACCGTTTTAGCAAAAGTTGTTGTAACCAATCAGCAAGGTAAAAGTCATTTCTTACCTTGGTAACCTTGAAAGCTAAAACAAATTTAAGGGTAGAACAGAGAGTATTAGTTTTGGGGGACGAGGCTTCCGCAGATGCCTTGTGAATGACTGCAATACGCACCAGGCATTTTATAGAGAGAAGGTGGATGGCATGTACAAGATATTAAGCCACGCACTATGCGAGCAGCTATGTGCGGTGGCTGGCTTGCTGCTAATAATGTGAGCATTGAATGAAGGCAGATGGAAACCAAACCTTCTGCGACATGCTTCTGAGACTGATTAGCGTAAGTTACGAGGCATAATATTGGATGATCACGGTAATTTGGCCATCCATTCGACCTGGCTCCTTGCATTTAAGACGAACTCGTAATTGTGATCATGCCTCCACCGATACGTGGTAGCGGTTGCAATACAGGGGAATGGGCCGTCGTCTAACTCTCAACAGAGATTGGGGACATCAGGCTTCTTGCATTATTACTATCTAGGCGCTCGCCTATGCCTGGCCAGTAGGCAAACGAAACTTCACAGCAAATACAATGTGCGAAAACCGGTCCTGTAGAATGCTGTGGTTCGGCTCGTAGAAGACTCAGACACCAACCAGACAGGTTTAAACATCGCATGCCAGACGGGAATGGTGTCAACGTTATCCTGGCAGGCCAAATATAGCATGCCAGACCAAAAGGTTGGCCTGCCACCAAATTAAGAAGGCTGATCCACAATATGGCCTGTGGCAAGACCGACGGCCAGGAATCTTGAGAAACGCACATAGGCCTCCGTATCAGACTCGCACCATCCATTCTGGCGACTACGACCTGAAACATCGGATATGAGAGATGCCATCACTGTATGGCTGTAGCTATATATCTATCGCATTAGCACACAGGAATAACTGTCGTCACAGATATAATACAAAGGCCTGCCTCACTCTTGACCAGCGAATCCGCCAGTGAACTCGAACTCGCGGTGCGAACTGTGTGATGAGAGCAGCGGCTAAGTCACGGCGAAAGCAACAGATAACAACAAAGTACTTACGATCGAACACACACTCCTCATTTATATGCAGCTGTACACTGAGTCCGGAATTCGGAAAGCTCAGCACTCACGAGAGCCAGAAGACTCGAACACAATAAGTTATGCATCTGAGCGCTCAGGTGTTCAAGTTGATTCCGTGTCCCCTGAGGCCTCATCACCCACCTCCGTAGCACGTGATGTGGTGTCTGCAACGTGGATTCAACGAGGACCGTGTCTTAGTAGGATCCACATTAGTCAAACAAGGACGTTGTCTTGAACGCGCAATATATCGTCTTCTGTCCTCTTCCTGCACATTGATCATGACTGGAGCATTGAGTATCAGAATAGCGTATGCATCGACCGTTTCCTGAGGATTTCTTCCGCTTAGTCTCATATTTGCAGCATCATGGGATCCTCTGGAAGTGGCAAGACGACATGTGTGTCACCAACAGTGAAAATTTGTCCAAATAAACCACTGATCGACTACTCTCAGTCATCAATGAAGCCAGTGGATCTGACTTCGCAATTGGAAGAAGCCTCGAGAGTTGCACCAGCGAGGTGCAAGCAACGAAACCCTTCAAACTCAACGGCCGGGAAGTGACATTGATCGACACTCCCGGCTTCGACGATACTAGCCGCAGTGATACGGACATCTTAGCGATGATAGGAGCATACCTCTCGCAGACGTCGGTCTTCATTGTCATACTGTTTCTCGTTCTGATCCAAATAATACAGATATGAGCACGGTGCCAAACTTGCTGGCATTATCTACATGCACCGCATATCAGATTTCCGGATGGGAGGAACAAATAAACGGAATTTCAAGATGTTCCGAGAGCTCTGTGGGGAGTCCACTCTGCGAAACGTATTGATCGTGACAAACATGTGGAGTCAAGTCGCTTCTGACCTTGGGGAGATGAGGGAAAAGGAGCTAGAGAATAATTTCTTCAAAGGAATTCTCGACAAGGGTGCGCGGATGTTGAGGCATGAAGGCACGCAAGAGTCGACGCACCGCATCCTACGATACCTGATTCATAACCAACCAGCCACGCTTCTCATTCAAAAGGAGCTCGTGAACGAGCACAAGAATATTGTGCAGACCTCAGCAGGATCTGAGCTGACGCGGGTCCTGAATGAACAACGAGAGCGCCACGAAGAGGTAGTAGCTCAGTTGCGCAAGGATATGGAGGCAGCAATTCGAGATAAGGACCATGAAACGAGAGAGGAACTTAAGGAGGAGATCCAGACCAAGCACGAGCAGATCCTGAAGTTGCGATGCGAAAACGAGCGGCTAGAGGCAGAGTTCAGGGCAGCCAAGGAGAGGCTCGAGGCCCGGATCAACGCAATAGAAGAAAAGTATCATGAACAAGGACAGATTGTAGACGCCTTGAAAGAACAGCTGGAGACGGAGAGAAAAGATAGGGAAAAGCTGGCCATCGAACAGGAACAGAAGGAACAGCGATTGCGTCAACTGGAAGAGGAAAATGCAAATGTTCAGGAACTGGAGCGCCTAAACAGCCTTCGAGAACTGAATAGGCTTGTTGCTATTCGTGTTGAGCTCCAGGAAGAGCTTCGCAAGGAAGAGCATCAGAGTACGAAGGAGTCAGAAGCCAGTGGCAGCGGACTGATAGAGGATGTGGTCAGCTGGGTGAAGTCATGGTGGTCATGATGAGAACCGTTGTATTTATTATGTATACTACTACTACCGACTCCTACCTTATACTTTGAAGTGGCACCTCCTTTTGATGTTTATCCATTTCATTGGCAAGTACATCTCGCACCTTGAGAATCATTAACAAGTCATGGTCCACGTCCGCATCAACGAACGCGAGGCTAACCCGAACCCGCACGTCAATTTCATCTCCGTTCTGCCTATGGTCGATGCCACTCTCGAGGATGATGCTCGGCAACTTATGCGGGCGCTCAGCGCCCAGGTGAAGCCTATCATGAAGGCTCACGGTTTCACCGTGAACAGCTTGGAAGAGGTACGTATCTATTCTAGCGTCCCTGGGTTGGGTCTACTACGCTGAGACTGTCTAGTACGAGTATAACAGAGTATTTGCGGGACGGAACTGGAACAATGGAGAGACGATCGGTACGTACACTGCCCCGGGACGACATAGGAGAGCTCTACTGAGGCGTTCATGCAGAACTGGTTTTGAAGTCTGCTGGCGGTTCATTTGTACCAGTTCACTGGCTCTTGAGTACATTGTGCCACGAAGTGAGTCTTCCTATGCGATTCGTGTGATAAGTTGCCAATTGACACTGGACGCGTTTGTCGCGTTAGCTTGCCCATATAAAGGTCGGTTGTGTAGATTGGCAACTATTCGACACCCTAACACGCGATATAGCATATGAATCACGGACCTGCTTTCCAAGCCCTTTGGCGGCAGCTACGCAATGACGTCCGTGCCCTTCAAAACAGGGGATATTATGGTGACGGTACGCACCACAACCAAGCTTCGCTCACATACACCTCACAATTCCCCAGGCTATTGGTCTTCCGGGACCAGATTGGCAGATTCCGCGAAAATAGCCGGCCAAGGTGTTGAAACGGAAGTCCTTCCTGAATACATGGTCAGTCATCCTCCGTCTTTCTCATCTATGCTCAGATAGTGCAAACAGTGTGGTGGTGCTCACTCGCGTGCCCGACCTGCCTCTTATCAACGACGTAAAAGAACTGCTAAATTTAGTGGACCTTCTGTGCACACAGGTGCTCAATCCGAAAAGAAACGCAAGGCCGGCTCCAGGATTACCAACGCTAGCGCATTCGGCTCGGGTGGAAAGGCACTGAACGAGGACATCATTGACGAGAAGAAAGAAACCGGCACTGGATTTAGGAAGAAAGCTGGAAGGTATGTGATTCGTCTTTCAAATAACAAGGGCTCATGGATCATGGTTGGTTAGTAAACGTGCCCGGGAAGAACGTGCGCTTGCTGCCGAGAGACGTATGGAGACGCACAAAGGTTGGTTTTGTCTTCCCCTCGTTTCGTCAGGCGATTCACTTTCCGTTTCAGTTGCATCCGTCTCTTCAGCGTCAGCATCCTCTTCGCGTTTGAAGAGTGAAATTACAACAGGTTCAGAATCTGAATATGAGGCTGAACCACTAGAAACAGATCAAGACCGTCGAAGAACCATGCTCGAATCCGTCGGCGGACAAGAGCTCGACGAAATGAAAGCAGCCAGATATGATTTTTCAGACGACTTTAGACTTCCTGGAGAAATCGGATTTGATTCATGCAACATCCACAAAATTGAACGTCCTGATGCTGCTGTGTCGACAGATGCGCAGCCCGGTTCATCGACCCAGCCTGGCAAGCATCGGCGTGCGGCAGATGAAGAGATATCTGTCGCTAAGAAATCACGGATTTCTGGTGCTTCTAGACCTGACAGGACGGATGATCAACCGGATGGCTGGAACTGTCTTGTGTGTACCTTGTACGTCTTCTTCGAGATGAGGTTCAGGTTGATGGAATTAATTTGATCGTGTCATTAGAGCCAACGAACCAGAACACCTAGCCTGTTCTGCCTGCAGCACCCCTAGGGGAGATTCTCTCTGGGTAGGCAGAGCTCCATGAGCATCGGATGTGGACTGCAACACCAGTATACCCAATTGTGCCAGTATTATAGAATGATGTGTGATCTACAACGGACAAAGTTCGAGGTAAGATGACAAGTAGTATGTTGTGTTCAACAAGATGTAATGGACAAAACAGTCAGTGAATGGTATGATACAAAGCTAGGAAGTCACAAAACAAATAATATATTGTATGAAAGTAGTCCTTATATGATCCATGTACCAGCAGCCAGAGTGATCAGTATCGAGATAGCCAGTCCTACTCCCGGAACGCTCCGAGAGGCAGCACTATTCCACCCAGGGGGAACGCCTAAAGTTACTGACGGTTGCGTTATGTGATATGTCGATGTGACCACTGCACCGTTCGAATTCGTAACAAATAGTGTATATGCACCAGTCACCTGAGGGAGGGCGGTGGCGTTAACGGCAAGTGTCCCTATGAGGGGGCTATACGTGCTCGTCGCGAGCTCGGATTGCACAATCTCGCCATAGACAGCTGGAACTGACGTGTTAAATGCGTACGGCGGCGTCGTGTAAGTGGGTGTAGAGAGGACGAAATTGGGTAGAGTGGTAGCAACTGTCGCAGACTCGGACGAAAGGGAGGATTCGACAACTGAAAAAGGCTGTACAGGTGCTGAGGCGTTGTTGTAGGGATATAACCCAATCATCGGGGGCTCCTGGTAGTCAATTCCATAACTACATAAAAAGGACTGATGAATACTGTGTGGAGAGATTCCAAGAAGTTCAACATACCTCCATATTGAGTAGACAGTTCGCAAAAACGGGGTTCCTGGACGAGTGAAGAGGTTAAGAATATGGAGCGACACGACAGTAAACCGACTATTGTACCTAACAACCAGTCAACTCCATCAGTACTGGGAGGTGCAGCTTTAGGCCAAGACAAACAGAGGTCCGGGTTCCCCTCAGCTGGGCCAATAATGTAATCGGTAGGTTCCAACACAAACGTGGCTCCGTTCCTGGAAGAAAGGTTTTAGCAGATGAAACGGGTTATTTAATCAACCACTAGTCACCCAAAGCTGAAGGATATGATTGCTGAAGAGTCGCAAGGTACGGCCCATTGGCCACCTTCATTATCATTGCTTTATCAACTCTGGTAGTATCCAAAATAACATCAGGACTTACTCTCGTCAACTAGGCGGCTACTGGGAAACGAACTGTACAAGCGTATTACCTAGAAGAATATGAAGATTAGACGGTCCGATGGAAAAATCAGGAACTGACATCTTGATATGGGCCATATAGTCCTGTAGTGCCGCTGTGGAGAGTTAAGCGCGCACATGGATAGGTCGTTGATTACTTACACGTCCAAAAGAGCAATCGATGAATTGTCATTTGGGCCAGGATAGGTCGGTTGAGGAGTATATTGTGTTCCATTGACCTTGCAAAAAAATAAGTATCATCTCACGCTATAATGGCAAGATCAAGAGCCTTACCGCAAAACTACTCATACGAATCGCCCAATAGAAGTAGCCAGATGTATTGGTCTGTGTACCGACCGGAGAGAATGATACGACCTCGTTCCATACAACCTGGCTAACGTTTTGCACGACAGATACATCAATGGCTCCTTTTCAACACGAAGACATGAGTATCGTAAACCAGGCGTTCGGTAGAGACTCACCGAGGGTAAACGTTCCGGTTGCATTCCTCGTAAGACTCAGTCCAAAGATCGGATAGTCCAGTATGCCTTGCTGAGCCAAGGTCGAAAAAAACGGCGTGGCTAGAACGGATCCGATCCGTGAGGCTGGCGCTCACAACGCTGCTCAATTAACATACCACTTGCAGCCCTCGCGGATATTTCTGACTGTCGTGAGAATCCTAAGCCGAGAATACCGCTGACCTCGCTGACCAGCGTAATATTAGAACTTGTAACAACGCCTGCGGAGATGTTAACGTGGAGCGTTTCGAATCGGAAGTCTAGCCTTACCAAATGCCTGATTTGCAACCGTCACGTTTGCAACTTCTACAGTTTCTCTGGCAACGAACCCAGATGCACCTTGTTACACCGTTAGCATCGGAGTGGCTTGAGTGGATTATCGCACATACCAGTCCCATCAGCATAGTTAACGGCGAAAGCGGTCTCGTTGTTATTGATGGACACAAATGTGGGACTGGCATAGGTGAGAGGGTATCTTGGCACAGACATACATGTGCTGTTAGTACATTCTGTGGAAGTAAGCCAAAAGTCGGCAGAACCTGCGACGCGCTTTTCATATGGAATCTTATTATCAAATAAGTACGCATAATACCTGTATCAAGGGCAGCTCGGAAGCTTATTTGACCAGCCTGGAGAACAACATAGTATGTCCTTGCAAGATGGTCTGGTGAGAAAGGTGTATATTTGAGGTTTAAAGACTCACCCATCACCAGCGATGGATACCGGCGAGATTCCAAAGGCATTGAGTGCGGTTGAGTTTGACGCCTGACCAGCAAGCAAGGCAGGTCCATCCTGCAAGGGTGTACTTGGAAGATTATAGGTGCTAGCCGCGAGAACATTTTTAAACTGCAGGGCAAAGTTCAGAACAAGAAGCAGGACGACCGTCGCCAACCGGTTCATTATGCGCTCTTCAAAGGGACCGATGAGCCTGAGTCTACCAGGGTAACATTCGAGCACTATAAAAGCTTTAGTGGGAAAGGAGGAGGAGGAAGGGCCAAGGAAAGAACCTTGGGTGTTGGAACTTTGTCACAACGACGGCGAAAAGATCAGACCAGACGCGGGCGGCATGTCGTTATGACTTGCTTGTTTACATGTCACATGTTCAGCTCGCGAAAACGTTTAGAGTAGAAAAACAGTTATTCAGACATACACATAACTACAGAGTAATACATCTACATCCGAAAGAAATTGAAGAGTGACAGGAGGAGGCCATAGAGTAAAAGAGACTAGAGGTAATGAGCGTCACAGTGGTATCACAAGAATGAATAGAACATATAAAGATGAATGTCTTAAAGATAGGTAGAATAGGATCATGTCACCGTTTGGCAAACACTTTTTTCAGTAGCGCTAGGACCTTCGGTACGTTCAGCTGAACGTACTCTAGATCTAGTAAGTGCTTGTTGTCTTTTTGCTGTTGACGAAGTGAGTATTGATAGTGTGCCAATCTGGAGGGAGGAACCAACCTTCTCCAATAGGTCGTCGATCTTTAGATCCATCTCAAGAATGGCTTTTTCCCGACCCTTGTAGTGCAAGGAAATGATGAACGTCCCAGGCGTAGGTGATGTTATGTTGAAGTAGATGTTGGGTCGACTGAAAGGAGGTCAGAACACCGTATAACAGGGGACTGAGTACGTGCCGGTTATCAGGAACATTACTCTCCACGATGATCCCTTCCTTCTCAAGTTGCGCATGAGTAAAGCGATACGGACCAAGAACCGCCGATTTCGATGGCTTCCTCTCTTTGCCTCCGACCGTGACGACACCCACTCCAGTCGTACTGCCTTTGTCTTTCGACGCAGTCAGACGGACGTTCTGGAGATACGCCTTGTATTGCTCAAGCTGAGAGCGCAGGTAAGCATTGTGGTCGCAGATCGTTTTGTAGACCGCTTCCAACGACTTCGTTTCTAATACCACCTTCTCCCGTAGATTACCAAGGTGAGCGAGCTCAGCAGCAACCTCGTCTTGCATGAGCTTATAGCCATCTACCGCCTCGATGATATTTTGCTCCTCCAATTCACGAAGCATCTCCTTGACCTTAATGCCTTTGCGCACAAGCGTTGCATCCTTCGTCGTAGCCGCCCGTTCAGCGATCGCAGCCAAATTGTACGGCCGCTTCTCGGCAGCGTGGGGTATGGAACGTATGAGCTGTACAAGAATAGACTTGGTTTCCATGTACAGCATGTCGCTCGTTGATACCGAGTCCATCAGAGCACTTTGGATATCCTGTACAGGCGTTTCCCAGCGGCTGTACAGATTCAGCTCTATGGCACGGTTCTCCTTTCGCGGAACTTGTGACGGAGCGGGTCCGAGTTCATCAGTCAAGATACGTAAATGCTGCTTGTCGTTTGGGGACTGAGCACAGCCGTGTCAGAAACTAGCAGAAGGACAAATAAGTTATGCTTACGAGAGTTTCCACATGCTGTAAAATCAAAGAGTGAGTGTTGTACAGCTCGTTCATGGTGATGTGGATCATGAGGTCTTTCTTGGATAGAGCCATGTATTGGTCCATCTAAGATTCAACGTTAGTTGACATGAATGACATGAGTTGTGCTCGAACGTACTTCAAGAGTGTCATAGAAATCTCCGACCTCGCAAAGACTGTTGAGGAATTGGTTGATCCGTGCTTTATTATTTTCTACAAAGGGATTCAGTGTGATCATGTAGATCTCCTTCGCATACGAGGGCTTATTTGCAAGGTTCTGCAGCATCTTCGCAATCTAATGAGGTGAATTACTAGCTAAGAACGTGAAAACGGAAGGGCTAATACGGTACGTACCAGGGTCAGTGTTCGGCGAGGGTGTTTAGCGGGGACGCCTTCAACGAGCATGTATGCTTGGGGAGTGACAATAGCAGGATTGATGAACCGCAGAAAGAAGAAGCCTCCTATCAATGAGCAAATAGCGTAATCAGTTGCCTCGGGATACTTTCGCTGTGACACACCAGAGGATTAGCGCCAAATGAAAGGAATATGAAAGCGAACCGACCCGGGTCAAACTGCGGATCTGCTTGCAGATCCATCGAATACCATACGGCACACTTTCCATACTTTCTATTATGGTTACGAGGAAACTATTCGCGATTTCCATTAGCATAGTAAGCCGTGGTGCAATGATGGCTTGAACGTCGGCGTTCTCGGCGGCGACCTCTGGGGGTACTCCGCGAGGTAGGTTGGGCGGTAGTGTACCTGTTTCTTCTTCTATTTGGTTTATCATTTGCTCGTACACCTGCGTATTCGTTAGAGATCTTGACATGCCTCTCGACACTAGTTATGGCTCACCTTTACAGGATTAATTTCAAGGTTCAAGTCTTTGTGTTCTATCAAGCTGTTGATGCGTTCTGCCAGCACCCCCTTGAGATAACTTTGCCCAGGACCTCGTCGGGTGTAAGTAGTCATCATTCGGGACACAGGAGTGTTAGCACGCAGTAGCGACCCAAACTCGGTTGCTGTCTCAAACTGCGCGGACAAGACTGATTGGAACATCGTTAAAAGGAGATGCTCTTCGCGACTCTCGTATTGGTTTCCATACAGCGTGAACATGACCGTCTGCAAGAGTGTGTCGATCTCTGATAAGCTGACAAGTCGACATAGTGCAGCAATATGACGGGGTTCAGACTGGAGAAGGAAGAATAGGTTCGAGTACTGTTGTAATTTTCGATCATCAGGGTAATGGCCTTCGGTTGGATCGACTTCTTCCAGTGTCCGTTCCACTTCACGTTGCTAACCCATACAGGTGAGCCGAAAAATAGAATTTAACACAGCATCAGAACACGGACCTCATCGGCGGCCATACGATTCTGAATAAGGAGAGCGATGCGAGAGTCAAGGTAACGAACGTCACGCTCGAGCACAAAATTTTTCTTGGACTGAGCGGATATTTTGCCCTTGAGGTCACGAAGGCGTTTTTGTGCTGTGTTACAAGGCCTTCGGAATAAGAACATGAAAGCTATAATTTGGACACACCTCGAGCAAGGTCATCCTCCACTTCAACATCCTGCTCTGCGGCCATACTGAAAAGGGCGGTAACACTATAGCGATTTGTATTCCTGTTCGTGAGTCTCCTCCCCATAACTGCGCCAGGGGAGGTCGGTTGATCGACATAAGACATGATGAGTTGAGAGAAAGGCTGTTGATCTTTGGATCGTGAAGCGAGGACCTATGTAGACTTTGAAGTCTGCCCTACAGGTGTGGAGAGATTTCGTAGATTCCTAAGCTAGCACCGGCGCAGCCTGGCAACAAAAAAAACAAGAGGGCTTGTTGGATATCGAATTTTGCGGGTATCAACAAAATAAAGAAAGAAAGAAAGAACAGAGGATGAAGGCAGAGGAAGAAGGCAATGCAGGGAGATGACGAAGAAGACAATATATCCGCCAATGCGGCGCGTAACACAACAGCTGCAGCTGTGGCAAGACCAACGAAACGCTGAGAATATCTAGCAGGTGGCGCGAAATTACTATAACCGTCGTATCAAAGTTGAATCAAACTAGTCAACAGAGCTAGCGAAGCTTTTACCTGTGTGAGCAACTTCTAAGCACCTTCTCTGGTTAGTGCATTCACAATCCTCACAATCCTCACAATCCGTTTCATATCCGTTTTGCTGATTCAGAACAACACGTTTCGCATCATAGATCTGTCTTGTCACTGATCTGTGTTACACCCAAAATATGCCTTCAGTGCCTTACACAGATTCAGGACTTTGTAGTGCTACCCGGGTCTTTAAGCCCGCCGCACTCAATTGAACGTTGTGCATTGATCAACGTTAAACTTAATTTCATGGCCGCGTTAAATTGTAAGCGATCATAACACGCAAACTCCCAAAAATTAGCCGCATTAATATGATTGATATCAGGCCACGGGGTAAGCTTGTCACACTTAGCGAGCTTGATTCATGAAAATGGTATGTCATTACTCGACTGCCAAGGATAACTCCATTACGGCCACGCCTCGTCACTCGAGATGCACGAAAATAGCCAGGTTCTCCTGGCATACCATACCTAGACGGTTCTGTTCAGCGCATCCCGCTCCGCCGCTCAGTGCAGTGAACCCACAGGTTGTCAACGTGTCATCACAATCACAATGGGGAAATGCGGAGCCTGGTCAATAAATGATTGTTAAACGTATCCGAATGGAACCCCGCTGCGGCTGGCGTGTTCGCGGGACGTCAAGTTTGGTAATCTCTTTGCTATCACTGGGAGTCAAACTCATTCTCGCTGGCCCTTGCACATCTATGACGATTTCCCAAATGGGGGCGATTGTGACAAAGCGTATACTTATCCGCTCTCGAATATCAACCCTTTCTTTAATTCGATATCCCCCGAATACGTTTTGCGGTGTCCCTGCGGGCCGTGCGTGCACATTAACATGGTCCGTTTTGAAATTCATAATGATAAGATGATAAGAGTTCTCATATTCCTTTCTGGTGCAGTCTTGCGTTTTCTTGTTGGGTATCATTTGTGACTCTCGGGGGGTGAAATGGAACATGGCAGTTCTTGGACAACGATGACGCCGCGTTGCCTTTATCGCCATGGAAATACGCGATGACGAAGCCATAAAGTCGTTGCTAGAGGTAGGGAGGTTTGTCAATCCTGTGGAATCCAGAACACCCAGGTTGCCATCAACCACGATAATTGTTAGTCTAGGGTCAACAACCATTAATGGTACACTCAATGACATCCTACGGAAGGGGAGCTAGCAAAGATCTCCGGCGTTCTTGATTGCAGACTCTACACTTGGAGTTCTAGCTGCCAAAATCGACTTGCAATAGCCGCCCAAGTAATGCACTGCTCCATGATGCTTCATTACATAAGTGCGTATCAGAAAGTTTTGTCAGGACTCGTTAATATTGCTCCCGTTCTTGTATTCGGCAGATATCGAATGAATGCCAAATTGACGGTGCCACTTCGTACCCTTTGGAAATGTTCGGCTGATGTGACCTTCTAGGTGTCATCTGACAGTCTGTCTTAATCACACAGAGTGAAATCGCGCGAGGCTCAGCCCCAGGTCGATTGAAGAACTATGTCAGCATACGTATGCACGAGCCAAACCCAAATTGTCGAACTTTTTTTTTGAATCTGCGGTGTGATATCAAGTGGGGTTCGGATCTCTTCAACCTCCGTAAACATGCACCTGATGATCGATCCCCTCTCGTTATTCCGTCCATACATGCGCTCATGTGGCCCGCGCTTAACAATGGCTGTCCTGACATATAAATTGGGCTCAGATATCGGTTCTATCTATCTAATTCCTCTTGTCTTAGCACTCATCGCATTGCCATGTTTACCAGGTAAAAATTCTTCACTTGTAGACCTTCGAGCATCGTTGAACATTTTTTCCCAGATGCTTCTTACCCAACTGTCCATGCGAATCTACGAGCCCACAGGACTCCGTCATAATAGACGTCGAGACCAGCGCTGCCATTAATGCGCGGGACTCGGATATTGAGGTAGTCGTCTACCGTTGCTGTTGGGATACCCAGGGTTACCCCTGTAGATTCTTCATCGAAGGCTCTCCCATGGACATCCTCTCTCATCTTCGAGAACGACATGGTGTCGTGTACTCTGCCGACGCAGATATCGAATGCCGCTGGAGTCCATGCTCGATGGACAGACGTCTGAAAATGAGCAGTATAACGAGGCACATCGCGAGGCATCTGGGCATTCAATTCAAATGCTCGCGATGTGGACTCACGGCTCGTGACGACGTCGTTCGTGACCATATCAGAAGGAACCCTGGCTGTGCTGACGCTGCGGTACAGCTGGTTCACGGCTCAGGAGCCCGGCGGATAGTTTCAGCGTGACTTTTTTGCTGGGCGCAATGATTTGACTTTTAGCCGATTATTTCCTATATACGTTAACTACGTTAGTACTTACTACGAATGCCGCACGGCTGGGACGCGTTATGGGTTGTCTACGCATGTGTTCGATCAAATTATGTATTGATAGTGAAGGCAATGGTGTTCTGCCAGTGTCTCACCTCGTGGATTTGATCGATTAAGTATGTTTGAAATGGCAACTTTTAATAAGTCGGGTGAGGGTCATGATCAGGTGAGATGGCATGTTACGGTAGGCATGATGTCTGTCTTTTTAAATGTGAAGCCACTAGGATATTCCGCCGGAACCCTGTTTTCGTTCCCTCCCCTCCTTCGTGGAGTCGGGGAAGGTTCACCTTTTTAGGACGAGTTGGCAGGTATTGGTAAGGTTAAGGTTCCCCCTCAATTACTAAACTGATCACCAGGATCGGTTATGGATAATGATAGATAACGTAGGTACTAAACCGCAACCGCACGGCGATTGTGATAGAAAACCATCTCGGACGGCGAGTATACGTCCGACACCGACTCATGGCAGAACATGCAATATTTGGTCTATTGTCTGATTATTAGGTCAATTCCGATCGCTGGGGCGCCTCGTAATGAAAATTTGACGAAGATTCTCGGTACGTGTACAAAAAGCACAGTGGGCGTAAGGTCTACGGTTGCGAAATGCCCTCAAGCCGCACAAAGAACATCCTTGGGTCCGAAGAAGTCAGGTTTCTGTTCCTCACTTGGAGGTGTAAACTCCACATCGTATCCCCAGCCTACGAGTTGAAAGTAAAGATTGTAATACTTGGTCAAAATAAACTGACCACGCGAAATAATTGTAGGCGTGACCAACGACGAAGTTTACTGCCCAGAAGTTTGCATGGATGTGCGCTTCGACGGACTCATTCCGATTCTGCCGTTATGCAATAAAGTCAAGGGCAAGTGAAGTAAAAACACAGCTAAGTCACTACTTACTATTTCTTCACTGCTGCCTTGCCCGGGACGTTTGCAGGTTGAAGATGTTGGAGAGACATCTGGTCCGCAGTCAAAGAACGTTTTGAAGTCTAGGAAGGACGTTCACGGTCCTTATAGGTCCCATAAGGCGCTGGATCAAGCCAGGCCGCAACAATATGTAACCTTTTGACCCGCAAGGCCAACGTGTAAAAATGATCTTATGTATTGCGGAAGCGAAGTTGTAAATCGAGAGCCCAAAATATATACGACCACGCCTCCAATAATATCAGCTCAAGAGAAGCACAAACCTGAGCCCTGAGCGTCAAACAGAAAAACCCAGTTGGAAGCCGGGACCCTGGAGGCTGGAGCTACTACTTAAGCCTGAATTTTACTATCAACGTCACGTTGGTCGTAAAGATAGGCTTAAGTCACTGGTAGTTTGGAAGGGGCCAACGGCCAAGTCCTGGTAGACATTGAGCTTCGGGGCCCTGGTCAGTTGTTACTATTGCCCACCACTGGTGCCATAGGAAGACTGGGAAATACGACACTATGCGGCCAATAAGAGTGATTATAGTCACTTTTTTCCATCAACGTAGCAATAGCACATAAATATTTTAATATTTACCTCAATGACTGAACTAGAAAGAATATATATATATATCGAAGAACAAAGCGGAACTTGAAGAAGATTGGAACAGGGTACAAGTTGTCACGTGCTCATCGCGACCCTGTGCCAATCAACTCTAGTCAAGAAGTTCAAGTTCTCAAGAGGCACTGTCAGTCACTGAACTACCGTAACACAAGCAACTGGCGCGGGTAAGTTTGTCAATTGCGATCGAGCCCGACTTGCATGCACCTTGTCCTCAAACTTGTTGCGCTATCTATAATTCCGTTGACTTCTAATTCATCCCCGCAGGGCCCGGCTCCACGAGGACATAGGACACACTTAGGGACCATCTATTCTTCAAACCAATTTTTCAGATATGCCGAATCACCTCACCATTCCTTTTAAGAAGACATATTCATGTCCTATACCTGTTGCCACACGCGATTATATTCAAAATCACACAGAAGATCACCCAGATGCTTATATTGGCGATATCAATCAGTGGAAGGCATTGCGGGATATCGGCACTGGGGGCGTATTACATGCTGACCGTATCAACTTCGCGATAAAGTGAGTTCAGCACCCGAAATATGCCGAGTAATCTAACCAGAACCAGCTATCATGCTCAACTTGTATTCATTCTAGCCAAATTACCGCCCGACGTCAGTTGCCAACCTCATGATTCTTCTTCCGCAGTACTGATAACCCCAGATCAATTTGGAATTCTCATACGCACATGCGTTTGCTAGCCCGTCCTCCTTCCCTGTGACCCTCAGTAGTATTGCGTTTGAGCGGGCTTCAGTCTTGTTCAATATAGCCGCGCTATATTCCCAATTAGCTGCTTCCGAGGACAGATCCAGTCAAGATGGCCTAAAACGTGCAAGTGCTTATTACCAGGCAAGTTAAGCGGTTGAGAAATGGAAGCTACCTTACGCTCCACTTGAAGAACGCAGCAGGTGTTTTGGCCTTCCTGTCCGAGTCAGCGCTGCCGAAATTGGGTCCCTTCGTAGACTTAGAAAACACACCTTCCGATTTGACTGAAGATTTTGTCAAAAGTCTGGAATGGCTTATGCTGGCCCAGGCCCAGGAATGTGTCTGGCAGCATGCCGTCGCCGGTAATAATTTCCCTCAAACATCCTACAGTTCTGACTAGTGATTTAGATCACTACAAGAATAGTCTGATTGCAAAATTGGCAGCCAAAGTTTCATCTCTTTATAATACATCCTTACTATCGATCCGCCTGGCAGCTGCCGACGCCCGTAGTGCTTTACCACCTGTAAGCATGATCTCACGGCTTCCATCCTGGGTGTTGACCTAGGTCAATAGAATTGGATCCCTCACCTGGAGACGAAGCATTATCATTTTAATGCAGCATCGCAATATAGGAAAGGTGTCGACGAACTCGAAGCCTCTAGGTTGGTGAGGGATGACGCGTCCCTTCATCGCTGAAATTGTTATAGGTACGGTGACGAAATTCGGCGTCTCATGATCGCGGAAGCAGATGCTAAAAAAGCATTCAACATTGCGAAGCGTGCCGGGGTCGCTCAAGCAGTCATAAGCGATGTCAAGGTCCATTCTTATCTCGCGCCTTATCTAGTCGCATGTTTGACGTTTTGTTTCAGTCGCTGCTTGACGTTGTGCAGAAAAATCTTTCCCGTGCTGAAAGAGACAATGATCTGATATACCATCAGAATGTCCCGGCACCTTGTGGTATCCCTGCAATTCAAGAAGTCTCTATGGTACAGAGCATCATTCCGCCTGGGCTACGGGACCCCAGAAGCGTAATCGGCGATGACAGCATAATCTTCGGTGAAATGCTTGGATGGGGTGCTCGGGAAGCTATCAGTGAGTGGAGTTTAAGCGACAATGTGATGCCTTGTGCTGATTTATCAATCCAGATATCTACAATGATAACAAGAAAAATTTGCTTCAAGAGAAAATTGTCGAATCAGCCCAGAACCTGAACGATGAAGCCGAAAAGTCAGACGCGCGTCCTTACCATATTCCTGACGTAACTGATCACGCGCAGGATTCTCCAATCTCTGAACTTGCCATCATCGTTGGAAGCCTTGGAGCGTCCTGTCGGGCTACCTCCAAGTCTCTTGAGGAAAGCTGAAGAAATACGTCTAGGGCAGGGTCCTGCGAAGATCGATGTCTATCTCGACGACGTTCAGCGACTCTCTCGACATGTACTCGGCATTCTCGACGAGGTATCCTCTTTCTTTATCTACGTTTGGATTATCATTTATGGAACCGGTTTCTAGGCTATGGATATCCTAGACAGCGAGGCATCTGAGGACGAAGCTGCACGCAGAGAGACGCCAATGAACCGTCCTCCATCTCATGAAGCAAACCAAGAACTTGTCATAAAACAACAACGGTATCGGACCATTCTTATTCAGGCAGCAGAAAGCGACGAACTCGTGCGCAGAAAATGGGAGGAATGGGAAGATCAAATATTCGAGCTTGCTCGCGACGAGGTGCGGACAAGGCGCAGCTGTATACGATTACATACTAACTGCGGTGCATAGGATGAGCTCGAAGCCTTGGTGCCGTCATCGACAGTTTCAATGACAGGAAAGGCAGTGTCAACTAGTCAGACTCAAATCCACGCTCGCACCCTGCGTGGCTTGCTAGAATCTTTGGATGATGTCCGTCGTACTCGAGACGACCTTGTTGTCCGTGCTCAAAGACGAGCGGAAAGCGACGACATACGGCCAAAGGTACTGGTGGCAGCGGCAAACTTGGAACACAGGATAGAAATGAGCGCCGTCATGTTTGAAGACGTTTCTGATAATGAACTTGCCAAGTACGACAAGTTCATTCAAGGTCTGACGGAGGGGCGGAAAAAACAGGAGGAGATTCTCTCGTCGATCAAGGTCACTTCGATCAATGATTGGTTCCAACATTTTCCTGACAATCTCCTAGTCCATGAATGATGCGTTCATTCAGTCTAGGAAACAAGACCCTGCTATCAAGGATCGAGAGCAGGCCCTTCAATTTCTTGATCTCGCGTATTCTCATTATAAAGAGATCATACGGAATCTAGACGAAGGGCTGAAGGTTAGTTACCAAGAGATCAATCTTTGGGATCAAAGTTGATTGTCTGCTAGTTTTACAACGATATGGCTGGTATCTTGACTAACTTCAAGGAAGCATGCAAGATATGGAGCGGTGCGCGAAGTCGAGAAGCCAGGTACAGCTACTTTTGATTAATCTCTTTTCCTGTCTCACAGGACTGCGTTCCATAGACTCCACCACGACATGGCGTCTCTTTCAATCCGTGACAATGCCTCCGATGAATCTCACGAAGCGCCACCAGTGTCCACGACGTCGCCGCTGAGGACAGGCACTCGAAAACAGACTACTGGTATACCGACGCTGTCCTCAGCTGATTGGGAGGTTCAAGAACTGGCTCCCCCACCAATAAAACGAGCAGAAAAGACCACAAAACATCGATGATGAACATCATGCGTCAGTAGTTGCACAATGACGTTCGTGGATGAATCTCGACAGGAGCTGTGTGTGTAGCCATTGCTTATGTATTGTGGAGAGACGAGCTGAACATACTCATAACATTGCATATGATATCCAGTGAATAATGATCCTACTGATTACTCTCATTACATTAAATCCGACGCATTTCTTAGTCCAGTCATGCTGGAGTTGGTACACTGAGTGTTGTCTAGCCTACAGACAGTGCTCGGTATATACTTTATAACAGTATCGTATTCCCCACAGTGATGTCAGAAATGGAGAGTTGGCCCGGTGGTGAACATGACAGTACGCCAATACAATGTACATCGGTTGTGCGCCCAGCGCGTCAATCGTGGTCATTTTAGGGAGACAGACACGTCTTGGATGAGTAGTTGTCATCTATCAACGTTGTTAACGTTAAGGCCAAGGATGCATCGATGACCTGCCAATTTGATAGTAGCGCATTTGCAATTGGGCGGGCGGCATTTGTAAGCGCCCAGCTGATTCAGTGCTCGAATAGAGACATTTACTCCATTTACCGTGACTCAGTCCCCTAGCTATAGCGACGTCATCTACATAGCACACTGACCCGCAACCTACAAGTACAATGGAAGAAGACCACAAGACTGACAAAGGTCCACCCCCGCCATATCCACATCGTCCGCCTCCCTCAGGCACCCGAATCCCGCTGCAGTTAAACTCTGCTTTCCCTGACCTCGCACATACCAACAAACCCCCATGCTACGACGCAGACGGTTTTTCTCCTGTCTTCATTGGATCCGCAATCTTCCAGCGCTCCGTCCATCCATGCAAGATTGCGCCCCATCTTCCGATTCCATGCCGTGTTCCATATGGTTCCGCAGAGGTAGAGCATGACGGGCGGTACGACCTTCTGCCATTTGACCCGGTGACCATGGAATGGGTTCCTACGAGTCACGGTCGTATCCCTCACAATCGGGATCCTGTTGCTGGAGGTTATGAAGAGAATGGGCAGCATTTGTATCATGCATTGGGTCGCGTGAATGGGACTTGGGTTCCTGGTAAGACAGGAGAACATCTTGTGCGCATTTTCATTCTACTTGAAGCTATCCCATGATAACTGAGTTTCTGATAGGATGGATGCAATGTCGCATTTGGTGGTGGAGAGCACATTATCAGAAATGACTACGAGATATTGTGAGTCCAACGACTTGTCTCACCCGGCGATATCGACGCTAACAAATTGCAGGTGCTGGAGGAGCGCATATCTCAGGGGAGAGAAATAGATTGTTTGTATCGATACGAAGCGTGCAGTCATTCCAAGTTTACCTTGATAAATTTAGTTTTGCGCAAAATTTGTCAAAACTGAGTGGACAACAGATAGGGCAGGTAAGAAGACAGATGTGTACTCTACAACCGTTAGATATCGTCAAAGATAACAGCGGTCATTTTCGAGTAGCAAGACACTACCCACGAAGCACGTACAAGTACAGATAAGCTCTGACTACGGAGCTCCCTCAACAACAGCGGGCTGCGGCTGGCTCTGTTGTGGCTGCTGCGGACTGTGAAGCATGCCAGTACCCAAAGCCTGCGTCCGGAACGCCAAACCACGCGTCTTCTCAATGACTGATTGATATATCGGCAATGGTGAACGGTGGATCTCGATAACGTTCTATAAGAAAAGACAGTCAGTGAATGAACGGACGAGTGCGACATCATTAATGATGCTGAAATAAGATCCATACCTTTTCTAGGTCGATTTTCGCTTCCGCGCCCATGCGGGTCTCGCGGATGAGGTTGACAATCCATTTCTCGCCTTCATCTCGTGAGAGATTAAGACGTTCCGAAAGGTCGCTGAGCACGTGGTTTGAGAGTAAATCAATGCAGATGCATCACTCACTTACCCAATATCAATACGTTGGTGTATACGGCAGTATGCCTCGCTGATTAGGTAGCGTGCATTATCGAGGAACTCCTCTCTGAACTCTCCAAGGAAGAAATCATCTCCGACCACGCGGTCGGCAAGCGTTAGCTCACGCTGTGCGGCTTCAAAGTCAAACTCGACATAAAGCTCTTTCAGGAAAGATGTAACGGGATCCTGATATTGGTACTCCTCCGTCTGTATGACCTTGACAATCTCGCGTATCGAGTGTCGTACACGCGAAGAAGCAGCACTCCCACCTGCAGCCGACTTGCGAGAGAGGATGGCGGCAGTGGCTATGTACCGAAGGATCCAGGGACAAGAGGTTTGGATGGTATTAAGGTAAGTGGGCGAGAGGAAAGTCTCGAGGAGGAGTGTCCGACCCTGCGGGTGATTGAAGTAGACAAAGAGAGACCAGTGAACCAGCCACGTCCGCGAGTGGAGTTGCGTAAGAGCTGCGGGTTCAGCAGATGCAGTTAAAAGTGTTGAAGGTGAGCGCGAGTCAACGACATCACGCAAGGTGTTCAATTCTTCGAGAGCTGTCTCCCATTTTCCGGTGAGGATGTCGGAAGCAAGTTTACCCCAGTGCGCAGAAGTGTTGAGATCGTTATCGGTTGAAAGTACACGGAAGTGATACAGATAGTCTGCAGCACCGCTGTAGTTGCCGTAGGTATATTGAAACTGCCCAAAGTTGTATAAAGCAGTGATTTGTTCGAGGGTGAGCTATGTTAACGTAAATAGGTTGCAAGACGGTTGATGGTAGGCGAGCACGTACATTGTAGTTATCTTTTAGGTACTGCAAATTCTGATTTTTATCTTGACGCAGTGCCTGTGCAACATCTGGGTTCTCGATCACATCAAGAACGGCTTGAGCCTCCAGCTGTAGGCGCTCATTTGTTGATACAGCCTTCTCTCGTTTTCCCGAGAACTCTGAAAGATCGAGCTCACATGTATCATCATCGATATGACTTAGAACGCAATGAAGTACCTTCGGGGATCTCCTCGTCAGGGTGCAGCTGCTCGAACAGGCTGACTGCATAATCCAGCATGTTCGTGCCCTTTGCAAGTTCATACTGTGCGGCTTGAACTTGCTCGACTGGGAAGAGTGAAATTTCGACCAGATGGGCCAACAGTGGAAACGCCAGATGGCGATCCAAGTAGGGTATTATCGTTTTTGACAGATCGTATTCCGCCATGGTGGTATACAACGTTGCGTGTCCTTCAAGCCTCAAGCTTGTACAGAAATTTTACGGCCACTCAAAGAGGAAATCGCACAGCCACAGGTACTAATACTATCGGTTATCACAACTTCGGACGGCCACTGGTTCGGACACTTTGCAATATCTCACTCAACTCTACTTCAAATCATATTCTGCTTGACCACATATTATTGTACACTTGTACTACACTATTGCGAAGTTGAATCTTTGAAATTGGTCAAGAAATGATTGAGATCCTTGTTGAGGTGTGACAGCCGTCTGGCTGTCACGCGCACCGCATCATCACTACTGGAAGTTTCATTGCGTGCAATTCCAGGAATCGCTCTTCTATAGACTGTAGAAGTGCCAATAGGTTGGACATCACATTAAAGCAAAAACTACAGCAAGTACGTGCACTGCAATGTGCATCAAATAGGAATGTCCCCCTGTAGCCTGAAGTCCCTACTGCTCGCACCAATAGAGAACGAGATCTGACCGTCAGGCTTGCGCCACCCCTGAGCAATGACGTCCCAGATAGACAGGTCATAGCGCGAGAGCGTTATTGAGACTTGTTTGATGTCATACGGAGAGATTTCGACATTTGTGAAGCCCTTCAGGACTGATGGAGGCTCGCTAGCGGAAGATGGATGGTGGATGTAGAGCTGAGGGATCTATGCGAGTGACGTGGGCATACATACATATAGAATAGCAAGATTAATGGGTGTCACGAACCTCAGTCCCAGATACAGGTCCAGTGTTGGTGACCTCGAAAGTTACCTGGAATGCAGGCTCATGGAGCCTGGTAAGTAGTAGTATCAGCCTGTAGATCCTTCATCGGATTTGATAAACCTCACCAAAGCGCAGCGGACGACCCTTCGGCGATGGGCGAAGCCTTCCCATCCTCCCAAGCAGTGATCAAATCCTCTTGATCAGTATCCGATGACTGAATTGGTGTCACACTAAGGTCAGAGTACGTGAACGTGGTGTAACTCAAGCCGAAGCCAAACTCGAAGCGCGGCATGATATTTGCCTGCATTTTACCCTTGTTAAAGATATGAAAGTGCCAAGTAAAGTTAGGGAACTTACTTGATCAAAGTGGCGATAATCAATGAATAACCTGCAAAGACCCTGGAATCAATGCAGGGCAGCCTTGGTCGAGTACACGTACCCCTCGGTGTAATCAATGGTCACAATATTGCTTCCCGAACCTTTGGTGACGAGTTGTGCGGGATAATCGACGACATCCTTGGCAATAGTATACGGAAGTCTTCCAGAGGGATTGTACGCACCATAAAGTACGTCAGCGATAGCATTGCCCGCCTCCTGGCCTTGGATGCCAGCCCAGATAACAGCGGTGATATTAGGATGCTCGATCCAAGGCTCTATGATGAGCGGGCCGACACTGTTCACAACGACTATGGTATTGTTGTTCTGCGCAGCAACAGCGAGGATGAGGTCATCACCGTTGTGCCAGGCAGTTAGGTTCTTGCTAACAGGAAATGAACAATCATTGTCGTTTGAAAATGTATGAGGAACGTACCGATCTCCATTATTACCATTAACAGTAATGTAACCCTCGCCAGAGTCGGAGTTAGTGAACACGAGAGCAACAGCCTCGCCATACGCCATATTACCAGCCAGAGCGGTGTTCCAGTCGTCAAAATCCCAGAACACGCTGCTGCCGTCCTGACGGGCACGCTCCTGGATACCCTCAAGAGGCGAAATAAGGTAAGGGAAGTCACCAGTCCTGTGTCGTCAATCAGTGTTGAGTAACGATATTTTTAAGTGAACATACCCAGACCCCCAGCCCATGGCCAGAACACCATCGCTGCCACCTTGACCTGGGAACTCGTTGGGGCCAAATTTGCCTGGACCGGCATCGCTTCCAATCAATACCAGGTTCCTCGGCTTGTTCAATGGCAGCGCGCCGTTTTCATTTTTCAAAAGGACTGTCCCAGCTGCACCAATCTCCCTCACAAGCTTATAGTGGTCAGCCTGCACATTCACATGCTTGTTGTTCACTTCGTCTTTAGAATTGAATGCGTTGAAGTTCGTTGCAGGGTAGGCCTCGTCCTGGTGAAGGAAATACCAAGCAGCGATGATACGTGTCGCCATGTCGTCCAACCGAGCCATGCTGATGTATCCATCGTTCACATAGTCCGTGAGGTTGCCGCCAAAGTAGGAGTCACCGGAGTCAAAGGTGATATCGCCGGGCATAGTCATATCAAGGCCAGCAACAGCAGAGAGGGTCGATTTCGTCGCCTGCCAGTCAGATTGAACGAAACCTTGGAAACCGTATTCGCGCTTCAAGATATCATTGAGCATCTTGTCGTTATTGCATGCGTAGGTTTCATTGATGAGATCTGCGATTCAGACCTCACATGATATGAATGGTATATATAGAACATGATTGAAACTCACTGTAACTGCACATGACGGACGAGACGCCAGCCATGACGCTGCGCAAAAACGGGTGCGCGTAAATCTCATGCTGAGTCCGGTCATCAACATTTGAAGATTCTGATGCGCGGAAGTGTTCCTGTTCACTGGTGGTATAGATGAGCACAAGGGCAAACGGGCGTAAGAAAAGACGAACTTGTTAATAAAGTGCTTGGCAGTAGCTTGTACTCCGCCATTTTGTAGGCCTAAAATTGTCTCGTATGCAGATTCGCCGGTCAGGAAAGGATCTGCACCGAAACCCTCCCAGTTACGGCCGCCTTGAGCGATGCGACCCATGTTCATCATGGGACCAAGGGCAATGTTGACCCCCTTGCCCTTGAACTCCTGACCCAAAGCCAGGCCACGAGCACGCATCAGAGCACGATTCCAGCTGTAGAAGATATCAAACATATAAAGTTGGTGGACTCAAAGATGACTTGCGTGGAGCCCACATGAATGCCAGCTGGAAACGCAGTCGCGTAGTCGACAGAACGGACAGCGAGAGGCGAATCCTGGCAAATAATGAGAAATACCTTTCATGCAAGTTCAGGTTACGCACCTCAAGACATAAACCAGGGAAGTTTTTATTGGGTGGGATATTGCCAATACACAACCCCTTCGCCCAACCGACTCCAGTTGTGATATTGACCTTTTCTTCAATGGTGTAATCTGATATCTGGTATCAAGCATGTGTCGACATAGAAAGTGTGTGAAGTCGGTCAGACAATCAAACACTGACAAGGATGCACTCACAAGATATTTGGCCTTCTGGTAAGCGGCAGACCATGCAGGCGCAAAATCAGGCACAACTTGCGGATCACTGCTGACAGAGGGAGGATTCAAAGGATCGGTTGCAGGGTAAATAGGCGGGCGAGGGTTGAGAGTAGGTGTGGGATAGGGAGTGAATGAATAACTAGAGAGCGGAATGGTGATAACACCGGTTGTAGACGCGCCTGAGGTGCTGGCGGAAGCAGAAGATGTCGCGGAGCTTGCGGCAGAAGTTAATGGAAAACTGGACGAGGTTGTCACTGGCGAATATGGGCCAAGTATAGTAGCAGTAACATTGCCACCTGGGGTAGACAGTGTCACAGCAGACGGAGCCGGGGCACCTAGGACAAATGGAATTATACACAACGGCGACAGCAGCTTAGACAACATGGCCGCTGTACACGTTGCTTTCTAATATAAGCAGGTGTAAAAAGGGTCAGAGAATACTGGTAGAATGAGTTCATGAACGAACCAACACTTTTGGACTCAAGCCGAATAAAAGCCGAATAAACCCAATATTGGTCTATAGGCATGCCCACATCCACGTACGTACCACGCGGCGTGACCAGCTGGAGCGACAAAGTTAGTAATGTTGAAAACCATACAAGTAAGAACTTTCGAATTTGAAATGTAACCGTTCTCTCGCTCACGACGAGCACATCCACGCATTCCGCATTCCGCCAGCAGGCTGCAAGTTCAAACTAGCGACGCGAACTTACTAGTAAAGTTAGTACTTACATATCCGAATCATTATAGGCATGGAAGATATTCCACCATCCGACATTTGACCATCACTAGCGCGTCGATCGCTGCCAGCACACGCACTGCAACAAGTCAAACCAAGCCAAATAGCATACGCAACCTTCAACCAAGACAGCCTATTGAAGTGCCTCTGCTTGCACCGATGGAAACCGATATCTGGCCACTGGTCAACAGGTCCACATCAACCTGTTCCATATCCAATTTCCTTGGTATGAGCTCATTCATTGATGAGCGCATTGCTTGTATTTCCCTGGAGCATTGTGAAAAGTTATAGCACTGGCTCCAAGCACCCCGAGTCAGTATTGCTCAAATTTCAACTGCTGTTACACGATGCTGATGGGTATTCTCGCTTCGAACTTGTAGCCAGTACATTTTCATTAATGCTCTCTGAGGTTTGGGGTTCTATCGAATGAAGACATACCAGGTCTGAGGTACAGCTGGCAACGCCAAAGATGGTCTCACGGAGGGCGCTCCTCGACCGTATCACACTTTACATCACCTCATGAATCAATGTGCGAGCCGGTATGGGTTTCCGAGTCTCCTGCCACCCTATGTCCTCCACGGAATCCGAAAGGGTTCATCGTTAAGGATGGGTTATCCTTGCGTCTGTAAGGTCTGTTGAGTGAGCGAGAGGTAGGTCTCGTTTGATCCCGTGGGTGGTACAAGTAGACAGCCTAGACGGATGACTCGGAATGAGCCATGTTCCTGACTGCATGTTTATACTATACTGCTTAGTAAATATGCTCGACCGGGAAGAGTGAAATTTTGACTAGAGATGACAGAAACGCCAAATGGGTCGAGATCCATAATGATATAGGTGTATTCCGATATGGTGGTGTGTAATGCCTTTGAGCCCTCAACATTTTTTTTACCGCAGCGGAACTAGCACAGCCACAGCGGGTGCGATATTCATGAGGCTCTTGTGACTTTTCCAACAACGCAAACTGTCATCATGACTGCCATCACACAGAACCTGCCCAGATTTATATCAGACCTTGGAATATCGATAATTGGAGAGGTATGTTGATTTTTATTGTTCTAGTCAAAGTTGGCACACTCAACATATTGCAGAAATGTTATTCCTCACTGGTCGAGAACCTTAATGTCGGAGACGTGGATTGTCTCAAATACTCACTCTCCAAGGGCTTGGGCATCGGTATCGTAGTAGGAGGTTCTATCATGAAAGTTCCTCAATTGTTGCTTAGTGAGTCTATGAAGCGCCTTTGATACACGTCAGGGACTTATGACACGTCTAGTCCTTAGCGGACGCTCCGCTCGTGGTCTCTCCTTGCCCGCATATGTTCTTGAAACTCTCGCATATGCCATCACCGCTGCATACTCATACAGAAATGAGTTCCCATTCTCGACCTACGGCGAGAATCTATTCCTGACTATACAAAATACCATAATTACCCTCCTGATCATCTATTTCCCAACTCCATCGCTCCGAAATGCACAAGCCATTGGCCCACAATTGGCAATCGCCAGTGCAGCATCCGTTGCATCTGCCGTCGCATTGTATATGTTCCCTAAAGACATCCTGTCTCTACTGCAGATGGCCACGTTGCCACTATCCCTCTTCTCGAAGCTGCCCCAAATCACGCAAAACGCACGTGCCGAATCCACGGGCCAGCTCTCCGCCTTTGCTGTCATTTCTCAAATCGTGGGCTGTCTTGCTCGATTGTTCACTACTGCGACAGAGGTCGGCGATCTCATCGTCACTGCTGGCTTTGCCCTTGCCCTCGTTCTCAATCTTGTGCTTGGTGTGCAGATGTGGATGTACTGGGGGAGTGACCAGAGAGAAGACTCTGGAAAGACGCAGATTGGATCGCTCAGCGAGAAGGAAAAGGTAGAATGGGCATCGGAAAGGCAGGGAAGAGTTGATGTTGTCGTTACTCCGAAGTCTCCTGTACCGCGTCATACCGCGTCGCCTTCCGGTAGAAAATGGGCAAGGAAGGTTGATTAGTACTATACCTCTGTTATTTAATGGACTCGGTTTTTTATTTGTTTCATACACTATCTGAGTGTGTGCTAAAATGCTTGAGTACTTGGTTTTGTTGTTGACACACTACTGCTTCCGCTAAATTTGGTGCCAACAACCGCCTTCTCTTACATACTATTATAGGGTCTGCCTAGACCTACGGGTGGCCTCCGGCAAGCCGTAACTCCATTTAGTCTGGAACCAGGCTTATCGACGATTCGACTCGGACGCTCCACTGATATCGATGCATCAAGCTCTACTTGTCCCCGAAGTCCTCCTGGATATATTCGCGCACGTGAATGAAAGTGTGGACCTACCATCTGATGATTCTTCTTGCGAGAGATTATTATCTCAACAATCTCTTGCATCACTTGCAACGACATGCAAAACCTTCTACGAGCCTGCGATGGATTTGCTGTGGGCAAACATAGACGAGTTAGAACCATTGCTAGGCTGCGTGACGAGGCTACATCCACTGATATATTGTAGTGGAGCAGAGGTGAGTGCAGACTGATCACGAACTCCAGTTCATGAGCTCACCGAGCATTTAAACACAGCCTTCCTGGTCTGAAGGCATCGAACCATTATCTGAACATGAAGCCCACCAATTCATGCGTCATGCCTTCCGCGTCCGCTCAATTGATATATCATCTGACAGAAATTTTCACCTCCTCACAGTCTTCCCTACTGAGACGTGCATATTCCCGAGATTGCAGTCGTTATTATGGCAGGTCGAGGCTCCCAATAACATATATCTGCACCTCTTCCTGTCCCATACGCTACTTTTTTTCTATTTATCAGCAATCCACCCAGCTTTGAAATCTATCGGGACCCATTGTACTTCTTTGGAGGCCTTAACCATCGGTGATGCTAAGGATCTCACACCGGACGAGTCGTTCTTGCTGTCTGAAACTATCCGTTCATGCACGCAGCTGAGACATTTGGGTTGTCCACCTCTCGAATGGGAAGCATGGAACCACCTCTCCAACCTCCCTACCCTTCTCAAATTGGAAATTGGTAGCGGAAATTGGCCATTAGACCGATATGATCTCAAATTCGCACCTTTCCTTAATGTTACCATCCTCAATTTCTATGTGCACACGGCTTCACACACAATCACAACGTTGGAATGCTCAGAATTCCCCTCCCTACAACAGTTCGAGATGCATGTCCAAGTCATGCCTTTTGCACAAGCTGAGCAGCTTTTTCGTGCACTGTCGCAATGCAACGCAGGCCACACCCTTGAATACATCGTCATATTCTCCTTTGATTCAGACGGCGACTCAGATGAGGAGCCCTCAGACAACTCTCTGACAGCAATCACACAATTCCTTCATTTTACACAGCTGCGAACTCTGGGCCTCGTTTTTGAAAATTACCCCGTCTACCTTGACAACGACCTTCTCCTGAAAGCCATGTCAAGTTGGCCAAACATTCGCTACATGACCTTAGCGAATCACCAACTTCGTCTACCTACCATCACATTCCGCGGATTATTCGACGGGCTCCGGCTATGTCCTCACTTGGATTCCCTGCAATTACACATCGATGCTATAAATATCGATATTGATCCTGAAACTGAGTCATTTCAGCATACCTCCCTACAAAAATTTAACGTAGGCTTTTCTAACATAGAAGATGTTGAAGCTGTCGCTCGCATCATTTTCTTCATGCTCCCTGGCGTCGAACAAGTTAAACACGGGTACGAGGATAATAAGTGGGACAAGGTTAACCAGCACCTCGAACATCTGAGATCTTCTGCGGCTCTTGGCCATCACACATAGTACTCCTGAACCAGCCCGGGCTACTCGAATTACTGATTTATCTATGTACTGGGACGAGTGGTCGTTGTTGCTTTTTTTCTCTATGGATACTTACAATTATTTTCTTCCCTCTGACATTGTTTTGCTGTACTGTGCCGCGCATATCTTACGAATACTTAATGACACCCGAACGAACGATTATCGTGTATCTAGGGCTACGCCACTTAAATATACGCAGTTGCATATGCTGACCTCTTCTGACATGATAACTGACACGGACTCTATCCCGGCCTAATTCAAACATTCTCCGATACCACGCGCTGGATGATAGTGAAATAAATATGTAAGATAAACCGAGCATCATGGTGTGGTGTCATCAATCCAACACAGTGGCCGCAGAACAAACCTTTATGTTACCTCTGAGAGCCACTTTTCGACCGTAACCCAGGAGCTGCGGCACAGCCCTTCATTTTGGGGGACATGCAGTCTGCGAAGGCCGGAACGACCTTGCGCCCCTCACCTTCACCTTCCTTGACTAATGCACGAGGGGTTAATACAAGGGTGTTATTGTTGACAAGCAATTTCCATGCAACAAACTGTGTTTCTGGCAACGAGATGGTATCATAAACAAGTTTGATAGGGTCATCAGTCACTTGACTGATGGATGCCAACAGTTTTCCGAAAAGGTTGCGATCAAAAAAAAAAAAAAAAGAGTTGCGTCGTAGTCCCTGACAAGCTCCCCATTGCTCGGAGAGGTTATGATAAAATCCCGACAGACGAGCGAGTCGGATAGCTGCAATACTGTCAGGGTTCAGGTGAAGAAGAAGCGAATCTCATTTTGCTCACTATATGAACCCAGAGGAAGAACCGCCAAGAATGACCATAGGTGTCTTTCATTCCCCGACACTTTTCGCCCAAGGAGGGGTTATCCCAGCTCTAAATCGATTCCCTATACAAGTCCACGAGCGCAGTATCTAACCACAGAGGAACAGCAGCTGCGCTATCAAAGGATTGACTTGGAGGAATCTTGGATGGGATGTAGCTGACGATGTGGTCAACGAACCTTCTCATAACTTACCCTTGTTGCATCGGCCAGGGTATACTGCGGCTGATACGCAGTAAGATCATTGCCATGTACCACTCTGTACACTAAGGTTGAGCCTATACAGACAAGGGCAAACCCGAGACAAAGAAATGTCTAACACTCTATCGCCTTTGTGGAATTGTCAACGCCTTCCCTAGTTCCTCGACAATGCCAGCAATGTCCGTTCCCAGACGGCAGGGTGATGGATGTGTCACGAATATCACTGCCCTTGATCTTGTCGTCGACCAGGTTCAGAGCTGCAGGTTGATGAACGAGAATGAAGCATGATGCATCATGGATTACGGGCGTTGTGTTTCAAGCTTTGCCAACAAAGTTTATAGATGGACAGCTGCTGACTAATCGTCAATATGCCGCGAACCATCTTTGTATCTCCAACATTAATCCGGTTCTATATTCGTACACAAAGTAAATCACCCTAACCAGCCTATAAAGGTCGCAAATATCTAACCCGCTCCCGACTAGCACTGCCCACCCCGAACGGTCACCTGATAGTCCGTAGGGATTTGCACATTTGCCATTCTGCGACAACTCTATCGGATTGCAGTGATTGTGGCTGATGCACTCTCGACATGCACCAGTGTCTTTGCATAAGTGAGATCCTGGAAGCGATTTTTTATTTTGTGTTCATCGATGAACGACGACGTTTCTTCCACCCATACCCATTACCTGATTTCATACCGTCACCGGAAACTCAAGATCGACGTTCCATCTTCCGACTTGCACTCACTTGTCGTGCATTTCGCGATTTAGCACTCGACCTTCTTTATTCTCATCTGAGAAACTTCTGGCCTCTTATTCTCTCATCCAGACCTTCCCAGCTTCATCCGAATATACCTGATACATACCGTCCATTGATCCTCGCTTCCCGCATACAGATTCTCTCCCAACCATGTCAAGATGACACTGCATACCCATCCTTCCTTGCATGTGCTCAAAAGCAATCACCCCTCTTTCCAAAGCTGCGATCTCTCGCATGGCGTGATTCTTCTCTCACCTGTATCCCAGTCCTCAAACACCTCTTACCCACCGTTGAGATCCTCTCCCTCGACATCTCATCTTCGTTTCGCAAAGCCATCATCCCTGCACTCCCTACCTTCGCCCCTCGCCTCAAAGCTCTTGAGATCAAGGGCAGCCTCTTCATGACCGACAAAAATCCCTCCGAAATTGAGTCCCTGCTCATCAGTTATCCTGATGGTCTCACAGAACTTTCATTGACATGCCAGTTGCATCATGTCCCGAGCACCATCCTCAATGTCATTGCACTCTGGCCATATCTGCGATCCCTCACTTTAAAGCTAGGTATCGACAGCATCCCTACCCTACCTCTCCACATCCCCCAGCCCTTTTCCGCACTCACTCACCTGCACATCTTATGCGATGACAGTCTGGACCTTTTCATATCTTTCTTACGCACCTTCCAAATCCTCAATTTCGGTTCCTCCAATAATCTTTCCATCACATTCTCCAACCTTAAAACAATTCAGTTCAACGCAGAAGGTCACAGTTCCGCCAACGCCTGGTCCCAATTCCTCACCTCTCTCGCCAATACAAACACGAAACTAGAGCACATATTTATAACCGAGCGATGCGGCTTTCAATCCATCCCACCCTCCTCTTTCGAATTTCGCCCCCTACTCGCCCACCCGAGTCTTGCATGCCTCAGTACCCTCATACTTTCTCCCAGCCGCACAACCTCCATCGTACTCACCGACAATGACATCCTCACACTCGCTCGTATATGTCCTCATCTCCACATTCTTGACTTGGGGCTACGTAATACCCTCGTGTCCTTGTATGCTTTGAATATTCTCGTCAGGCGTTGTCGCGAGTTGCACGAGGTCTCGCTCTGCATGGACGTGCGGGTCGATGCACTCAGAAATAGAGATAATGAAAATACCAACAACGACACAGTAGGTCTGCAACCTAACAATCGCTTGATCAAACTGGGAGTCGGGGAGTCGCCTCAGTCTAGCGCATGCCCCGCAGTGCGCTCTATGCCCTCATCGCCAGAGCTGACGAAGTCAATCTCACGGTTCTTGCATGCGATGGCACCCCGGCTTAAGGGGGTCACGTTCCATGGAATGCATGGGGGTCTATGGCGGGTGGTGTCAGACACCCTGTGGACGATGGCGACAGACGAAGATGATTAATGGTGTCTTTCGGGGATATCATGATGCGGCAAAATCAATTACAAGATTCGACTAACACCTTTGGAGTATACGTAGGTGTACTATTAGTGTACAAGTAGACGATGAGAGAATAGCAATTTGCAAGACTGTAACAGGTAGAGTGTTATAAATGACCAGAAGAATGATACCTTGTATGGGTGGTATGGGTGGGTGACGTGAGCGCCCCAACTTTGAGCGTCCTGACGCTGTGTAGGAGACCGAGGGAACTCGCAAAGTTTCGAAATAAGGAAACTCTTCGAAGCCTTTGCACGTGACAGACCAAAACAACGCTTATCCTCAGGTCTTCTGAACTCTGCTCTCATACGCTGGTTTGGCACAACTGGCTACGGCAAATTCTAATATAAATGCAACCCTTGCGTTATGCGCGCAGCTCTACACCTCAGAAAAGGACATCATAATCGTGTATCGTTGATATTAATGGCTATCTCAAACCGATATGTAATGTATCATGATTTTCCTCAGTCACGGTACTATGATTGTTGACGGGTGGTCTAGCATAGAGAACACTGCGCTCTTGTTGCATCATAATCATAATTGGGCTATTATTTACTGCATCCTCTCCGTTAAGTTGCCAGTCAGCTCGTAGAATCTTCATGCAAGCCCTAAGGTGGAACCATAGTAGTTTCCATCTCAAAGGTATTGCGGTATGCTTCGAGTGGTTACACTATATCACTCCCTCCATTCCCACCACGTCAAAGGTAAGAACCACGCTGGGTAACGACGCAGTGGACACCAAAGGCAAGCGTCTTTCCACGTTTGCAAATAAAAAATGCGACTAGCCTTACACATCAAAACTTTCAGCTTGCTTCCCACTGTCTTAAACAGGTGCCGCTGCCAAAGTTCATGGTTGGGTTGTGGTCGAGTGTGCCGCGACGATGCGCTGAGTCCGCGAAAATACTGTTGTTCCCGTAATTGGATCCTGATCGGAGTTGTACTTCTCCACATGTGATGTTACCCCCTGGTGGAGAAGTATGGGCACTCCCTTGATCATCACATTCTAAGTTTATCAAGCGTCAGTGCATGTTTGTGTTCTTGTGGACTGATGCACGCGTGATGGTACAAAGAAGCGATTTCCACAGGCGCATCTCCTATAGGGAAGTGTCCACAGACGCTTGCCTTTTCACAACGTGATGTCGGGGGATAATGCCAGATGGATAGCTTTGATGCACGACCACAGTCGTGCTTTGTCTATCGTTTCCCCGCCTGTTGTGAGGTATAAAACCGGCGTCGTTCTCTGCTCTACTTCTCTCATCTTCGTCTTTACTTTCCAACTGCATCTCTTTATCCTAGCCTCTTTACTTATTCAATTATTTGATATGTCTGTGTGAGCCTACTCGCGCGTCAGATCGATATCTTTATATGCTAACGATGCCTTTCACATCTAGTTCCTCGTGTTACATCCTTCAAACGCCATTCGATAGGTTTGTGTTTAATCTCGAGCTCTATGACGCGCTTCATCTCATCATTTTCTTAGCGAGTCTCTGACTGTGTCAGATGACCACGTGCCGCTCCCTGGCGACTCCGATTTCGTTCCGTTGTCCCAAGAAGACATAGCCAAGTTGTTCGCGGCTCACCAAAGCGATGAGACGTCTCCCGAAGTGCGCGCTCAGTTGGATGCGTACGTGGTTCTACCTCGTTTAAGTCATTTACTCGAACTCACGGTCTTCGACAGATTGTTCAAACACAGCGATGAATCAATGCGTGGTATGATTAACGAAAACGCGCTGGCAGGCCCAGTCGATGCTTACGATGATGGGTCAGTCAATCTATTCAGCTTACCACCTGGGTCAAGCAACTCACGTCCAACGACAGATCAAACTACGATGAATTACCAGTGGCGCCACAAGGGTACGTGCGCTCGCAACTGAGTCCTCACTTTACCATTACTTACTTGGTTCTTCAGGACTTGGGACGATTCACACTTTGTTCAAAATCCTCAGGGGTTGTTTCCGACATTGGAGAATTTCACCGCCCCGGTGGCTGATCTCCCTCAGTTGTCCCACATCGATCAGGGGCTCTACTACCCTCTGCAGACTATCCCTCAAGCGCCCCTGCAAGGCAATGAATTTCCCCAGCATGAATATAACCCTGGCTACTTCATGAACGGGCCTCCAAGCGCGTATTATCTGCAGCCCTCTGTCGCACATCAAGGCCCCGTATTATCCCAGCATGGATATAATCCTGAATATCATGCCAATGGACCTCCTGGTGCGTATTATTTGCAGCCACCCCCAGTCGCCCCAGCACCGCCGCAAGGCTACGCATGGCCCCAGCCTGAATATAATCCCGGATATCATGTCAATGGACCCCCTGGTGCGTATCATTCGCAGCCCTCTGCGGTCGTTCCAGCACCGCCCCAGTATGGATATCATCCCGCTCCCTCCTACCCTTACCAGCAACCTCATGACATCCCGGGTCCGTCCAACGCGTATCACCCAACTGCGGCATTCCCCCAAGGTCAATATGGTCTCTTGCAGACGGCATCTAGTGGGGGCTCAAGCATGGAGCCAACTTCTTCTGCTCTCGACGGGACGGCATCTACTAGGCCTCGCAAGCGTAAAACCCGCCAGACCTCTAAATCTGAGGATGGCTTGAATTCGTCTGTTGGACCAACAACGCGCAAGCGCAGACGCCCGAATGCCACCGATGACAGCAGACCAGGCAAGTTTGGTCCGTACATGCTAGCGGACGCCAGCGCCACGGTCATGGCCATGCCTTTTCACGACCCAAAGCCTGTCGACATCAGCAGCCGCAGGACCCATGATCCTAACGGAAATCTCCTTCGAACGAGGAGATTTGGGGCGATGGAACTGGATGATCATTACCCCAATGGATCGGGCAACGTTACGAAGGACTCCTCACCAGAATTGATCTGCGTACGCTCATGCGATTGGACCGACCAGCCGTGCGGTCTTTTCGTAGAGGTGAACAAGACCCGGATCGAAGACCACCTGTGGCTTTGGCATGGCGTTGAAGCCAAGAAAGAAACTCCCTGCAAATTCGAAGATTGCTCGGACCCACAGGCGATGCAAAAATTGGGCCGTCACATCGATGGGGTCCACTTCGCTACATCCTACCGATGCCCCTATTGCCAGAAGCTGTCGTCGAGGACCGATGCTGCGGCTCGGCATCTGAAGACGTGCAAATCATTGCTTAATAGCAGAGCCCACGCTGAGCATTGGAAGTACGCATTTTGTCCTCAAGCGATGATCAAGTCGGTTTCTGGGTATATCGTTCCTGCGAAGAACACGACCTAGGATATTGCCTGAATATGTATGTCCCCCCTTACCCCGCATATGTCGCTGCTACTAATGTTACTCCTTATTTGCGTGCTCTAGTGTTAACTGCGATTCCTGAAACAACTTATCTTTACGTCTAACAACACTCGTTTCATTCAATTACCCACATTCCTTTTGAATATTCAACGACACTCGTTTCATCATATCACCCACATTCCTTTTGGATATCCTCTCTTCGACTAACCACACTCATTTCATTCTATTATCGACATTCCTTTTGAATATTCGCCCCTTTTTCGAATCTTGCTTAGCGCACCTTTTATATGCTTATTGGTTATCTTTATTTCACGCTGGACGTGGCTATCGTACCTCACCATGACGCTCAGTTTATCTTACATATTGTTGTTGGATTTTATGGGATGGAAGTTGGGAGTAGCTATATCGTATCTCACTGTGGAGCTTGTAACTTTGCATCATATACTTGTGATTCTACGTAATGCTCAGCCCGTCACTCAGTCTAACCCCTAGTCCGGTGACCTTCCAAGTTCTAAATCTGCAGGAATAAATGAACCAATGTTCTTGGATCACACCAGCAGCCCTGGTGGCTAGTAGAATTCGAGATTTGCAGGGAACTTTCATTTGTCGCGCCAGTTGTCCTGGGATTGTCGTGGTCGCCTCTATTCACTGATCGGGGTTTCCCCTATGACGTTGCTTGCTGTATGATATAGGTCTGTGCCACGCACGTCCAGATATTGTGTATCTCGAGGGCTACGCCGCTCACACATACGCAACAGAATATGGCAGACTGTCGCTCCTAACATGATAATCGACACGGAAATGAATATTATCCTTCACGGGGTGTCTGTCCGAGTCGACCTCGACCCTACGTTATAAACGATTTCACTAAGTAAGATGTGTCTGATACACAATGTTCTCCCGGCGTACGCAAACATGCAGCGGGTTTTTCAAGGATGATAGTAAAATAAGCAGATTCATTGGCAAATAGTGTATAGGCGAGGTCTAGCGCGATTCCTGCGCGAGTGCTTGGGGCCCTGGCTTCTCCGTAATCCACGATTCCATGAAGATTCAAAAACTGATACGCTGAGGGTGAATATCAACAAAATACTGGAGTACTATGTTCACTTCTTTAGCGTTTGTTTCTCTTCTCTTCGTCGCCACCACTCCGGCGCTGTGTCGGCACGGGACTTCTCCAGCTTTTGGAGCTTGTCGAGCTCCGCCTTGATGAAAGCCTCCAAGAAAGCAGGGGCATTTTGTGATCCCTGCTTGGGATCTGAAGACGGCCATTGAATCACCTTCACAGACCCACTTTGCATCTGGTTCTCAATAGAAGTAAGATTCTAATCACGAATGAGCATATGAATCTAAACTCAGGCTGAGAGCGAACCTTGACCACATCTTTCAATTGGACAATAGCTTGCCCCTGATTCATCCACTCCCGAATCGAGTTGACCTCTTCAGGAGTCCACTCGCGTACCCTGGGGTCATCCATATGCACGTTAACACCTACTGCTCCCTTCGGGTGTATCAGCTTCTCTGCACCACCAGGCTCGCTAAATAGCCCGTCGAACCACGATGCAACATTTTCAGATGCGTTTCTGTCATACTTTGGAGCGAAGACGCGAGTCTGCGCATGAGATGATGGAGTATCGCCTAAAAACAAGTAGTCATAACCAATATATTTTTCCAAGTCAAATCGTTGTTCTTCTGGTAGTTCGGGAGCATTGGAAACTTGAATGAAAAACCGACCCTTGAATGTAGGATATCGTCAGTATTATGGAATTCGATTTTAAAAAGACATACGGGTCGACTGTGTGCTTCTATGACGAACGTGGACTCAAATGGTTGGACCATTGGAAATTGAACCAGATAAAGCGGTATTAGGACTGGGTAGGCAGCTTCCTTTTCTGGGATGAGGGGGAAAAGGATGCATCAGGTGAGATGACATACTATATTGGTTTTTATGAAGCGTGGCTCAAAACGCGCATCTTCATCACTAGTAGCATGAGTGAAGGACGAGGACCGTGTACTGCTAATAACGTCGAGTGGACTGATAGTGTAAGGCATGCATATAACATCAGAACCGTGTTGATGTGTGAGGCTCTGAGAAAATGGAACGGCCAAGGCAGGTTCTACTTGGTCATTTCGGAGAGCAAGCCTCCCAAGTAGGCCAAATGTAGCGCCTTATGAAAGTGATTAACCTCGCTGGTATGCCTGGTGTGGAAGATTGTACCTGGTAAGTAACTATACGCGATTCGTTAACTTGGAAGAAGTTTGATAAATGAACTAGTGTACCAGTCGTTGAAATACGCGGTCACGATTCGCTGCAATGCTCCCGTTTGAATAAATGTAGCAGGAAGAGGTACTTGAATATACCTGCCGTTCATCATCTTCATCAGTCAAGTATGACTCGACTTCTGCATCCAAGAACCAAGCAGGAAAATAGACAGGTTGGATGCGGATGGGTTGAATTGGCTGAAAGTTTCCACCTATATACTTTGCACCGAGCGACCCAACGAAATCGCGGAAGAAGCAACCTGCGGAAGCAGCTACACCAACGTGTCTGATAGCAGCCTCCTTTGAAAACGCGAATGGAATAGCTGAAACATGCCAGTCAGCAGACTGCAGCGGGTACGAGACGAATGCAGGTGACCTCTGACTTTTGGATGATATTGCGGTATAATTTGTGAGTAGCTTCGCGGAGAAGACGTGCGGGTAAGATCACGCGCAATAGCCCCTGCTCGTCGTTGCAGCATCGGTGCTCCTGGACAAAAAAGCTTTTAGACCGTGCAATGTCAATGACATGCTCCCCGGAAAAGGAAAGTCGGCTATATGCCACGTGACCCTTGTGCGATATACGTGTACTGTAACTTAATTGAAAATGCATCTTGCCGTCAAACTTCTGTCCCTCCCTTACTCGAAGGCCTCGGTCCGCAATGCACTTGGCTTCATACGTAGTCATTCTATGGCTACTTTTTGCTGTTCTTGTCAGCGCAACCGATCTATACAAAATTCTTGAGCGTCAGTCCAAGGCGTGTACCAACTGGTTTTGACTCGCGTCTGACTGATATACTCGGCATTTAGTGTCCAAACATGCATCGGAGCAGGATATCCGTAAAGCATACAAGCGCTTAAGCAAGCAGTATCATCCCGACAAAAATACGGATCCAGGGGCAGAGGAGAAGTTCGTTGATATCGCTCATGGTAAAATAAGTTGCACCCGTTTCCGCAGAATAGCATCCTCATGATACTGCATTAGCATACGAAGTCCTTTCAGATTCCACTGTGCGTAAAAGTCTCAAGCCTTTTTTATGGTCTGCTCAAAATTATCCAGAAACGCCAAATTTATGATAGGCATGGTGAAGTGAGTCTGGCATTGACTCATTATATATTCATTCGGATATGAACACGCGCTTCACTTATAGGAAGGGTTGAAAGCGCACGAAGGTGGACAACAACATCACGCCAATCCTTTCGATATATTTTCCAACGTCTTCGGTGGTGCTTGTGGGTTTACAACTCCTTGCTGCTACCTCTTTGCGCTGATCAGTACGTAGTCAATACACAGCAGCAAGTGCGTCGTGGACAAACTGTTATAATCGATTTCGAGGTTTCACTTGCAGATATGTAAGCTCATCTCCGCATTTCTGCAATGGTTAACTGATGAGCCGCGCAGGTATACGGGTGCCAATATTGACGTTCGTCTTGACTTGGCCTTTCGCATCGTTACTCAGTTGAATTGACTCTTCACCCACAATAGTTCACGATGAGGAAAAAGATACTTTGTGACCACTGTCGCGGCTCAGGCGCTGCATCGGACGGTGACATTCATACTTGTTCAGGATGTGGTGGATCTGGCGTGAAAACCTTCAAGCAGCAAATATTCCCCGGCATGTTTGCACAGACGCAGTCGACATGTAACGATTGCGGTGGCCGTGGAAGAATTATCAAGAAACAATGTCCACACTGCAAAGGGGAGAAGGTGGTCGAGCACACGCAACAGTATACTTTGGAGTTGAAACCAGGTACACCAGAAGGCTTTGATATTGTATTTGATGGAGAGGGAGATGAGAGTCCAGACTGGGAGGCCGGCGACGTAGTTTTGAGAGTCAGAAGTAAGAAGGAGAAAGGTGCTTGGCGACGGAAGGAGAGCAGCCTGTACTGGCGGGAGACCATTGGTATTGATCAGGTAAGCCCAATTGATGCCGCCGTCTCCGATAATTTATTGTGCCTGCTTGAATGATAGGCACTCCTCGGATTCCAACGCAATATCACGCATCTCGATGGTCACGTCATCGAGATAGACCGCCAAGGAGTGACCCAACCTGGTAAGCTGCTATCGTTTATTCGTCTAGCCAATGAGGGTGGTGTTCAACTTAATCATAGGTCATGTTCAAACCATAAAGGGCGAGGGGATGCCCTTGTATCAGACAGACAGTGTCGGCGACCTCTTTGTAGAGTACAATGTTGTGTTACCTGTTGAACTCCACTCAGACATTCGTCGAAGTAAGTGATATTTCAACCTTGCCGTGGTATTGTTCATCGTTTTGATTGCATCTTGTAGAACTTGCCGAGGCATTTTATGGACCAAGTCATCGCGATAGTAGAGATGAGCTTTAGATATATTTTTTTCGTAATTTATATTTTTTCCGTCATCAGTTTGTGTGAAAGTGTCCCATATCAAGTATTTTGGGCCGTGGTCCGGTGTTTCTAACCTGCCCTAAGGTCAGGTTGCATATAAGATAAGCTAAATCGCTTTTATTTCCTTTGGTTCCGGACCCCTTCGGCATGGACGAGGTTGGTTATATCTCTGCATCCTAGTCCTTTGACTGAACGTTTCACAGTGTTCCTGTGAAGCCGTTGTTAAGTGCTAGTCCCTACGCTACGAAAGTATCGAGCAATAGGAGAGCGTATTTGTTAGCCAGGATATTCTTTGGAAGATAGTCCAGGCATAGTGGCCCTTGGTCTGCATCACGGTTGGTCTGACGTTGTTGGGATCTTTAGTAAATCTCATGAAATTCGCAGTGGATTTTGGGCGAATCGTGGATGAAGTGTGTTTACTTCGTCTACAGATGTTCAAGTTGTTGGCAGCCTTTTCAAGCTGGCCTTCGGTAAGCAAGATCTCATGGAGTATGACATCTTGTTGACATCATCTCAGCTAGTTATTGACATGTGCCTTGGTCTGCAGCCATGGTGATGTGCATGCTCGTACGCGGCGGGCATTGCTACGTCACATCGTGGTGTAGGTTCTGAGCGCGTGCTTGCTCATGGGTGTTTTCCCATGAAGTTACCTTCAAATCAATTAACCCAGGACGACAGTCTCTGATGGACACACTTTCGAACTCTTTGGTTGTGTTTCCCGTCAGAGCCTACATGTTGCTTTGTCAAGTATAGCAGTATGTAGCAATGCATTTGCATTTCATTGTAAACATGTGTGCGAGAAGCGAGATCCTCCAAGTGCTGGTACAACCATGTTAAGCCGCCCCCACGACCACCTTGCGTAAATTTATTGTTAGCTGGTGAATATATATAAGGATTGCACAAATTGTGCGGGATGACTTGTATAATATTTGGTGATGAATCCATGCCTCATGCCTGAACGGTAAGGATGAGACGAGGAAACATGGAAAGATCACAAACACGCACAAGATAATTATAAGACTTGCGATCTTCACAGCGCTCAAGATACTCTCGCTGCGCCAGATGTAGATAAGAACATGCACAGTAAACAAGCAATGTTACCCACATCGATTAATCCCTCAATTCGTTTCTTGATATTCTGAGGGTTGGGCTGGAATCGAGAGGCAAGTTGTCGAGTGACTTCGTTAACGAGGTCGTTATGAGTCAAGTGCTTTCTGTCTTTCATGATGCGAACGATGCACGCCTAAGCGGTGGACATCAGAGTTTATGAGATATGATAAGACTGATTGTAAGCCTCACCTCGATTTGATGGTGTCTTTCCTCTTCGATGCGATCGCGAGTTTCTCTCCGTTCCTTAGTGGTTTCCACCTTGGCGGATACCGTGCTGATTTTAATCTTCTGCATCGGACATGTGAAATCATTGTTAAACGAAAATGAGTCCGATGGATGAACATCTCGTCCGGGAGGATGTTTCTTGAGAATCTTGAATTTTGCACATGCTAGGGATTGCAAGTGCCGTTGAAGCTCAGTATCTGGAATTGAAGTAGCAGTTTTCAGTTCCTGATCAAAAGTGTCAGATAGATCCAAGCATCGCAAGCTAGTGAGAACCCGCACCTCATATGTAAGAAATTCATCGTCTGTCAAATTCTCGAAAAGCATCAAGATCACGAGTGCAAATGTCGACACGTTAACATCGTGTTTCCTGGCCTTGAACTGAACACGAACGTCGGCATTTCCGAGTGAGGGTTGCCATGCGAGGCGTCGCCCTGAGTGGCGGGAAAAATAGAAATGTTCGAATGACTTGCAAGCCCTGATTAGGACTTCAGGGAAAATACAAGATGCACTAGAATGCGACATGGGCCAAAAAGTCGACGTCATCACGGTCACGGAAATCTCCACTTCAGGTGCCTAAACGTCCATTGAATAGACACAGTAAGACGAGATCACTGCTCCTACCAAAACGCCTTCAAGGTACTTGCGGTAGGCTTGCATGGTATCAGCGGATATCTTCATATCATGGAACATGCCCTCCAGCTTTTGAGTGAATTGGTACCCGCACTCAACTTTGAGCTTTGCCAGCATGCCTCTTTCAGCATCATCGGAGACCGACCTGCCAAGTAGTAACCGTTTGGCAAGATGATTCTTGTAGTATCGCTCGAAAGCGTCTTTCTCCGTGATGTACCGGAAAACCGTGATGGTCTTGTCCAAGACAGCATCGACCTCCATGTCGGTTTTCTGAAAGAATCGATGAGCGCGAGAATCAGGGGAGCTGGGTTACTGACGCCTTTGAGGCCCTTCTTGAGGTTTTCATCGATGAAGAGCGATATGTACTCTGGTGCCTTCTCATTTAGGTTGATGAAGTCTTCGAATGCCTTGTGACATACATTAGGATACATAGGAATTATAAAACAGAATGCTGACCTCATTTAGAGAGCTTTCCACTTCTCGATTGTTATCAAATGCTCGCGTCCAAATGTAGTCGAACTTATCCTTCAGATCGAGCACAGTCTGTACCCATTTCAGGGCCAGTGTCAAGGTCGGAGGGCCCATAGCTGTGCGACCCTGACCCTGACCCTTGTCTTTTCCTTTCGTGTTTTCAGTATCATTAAGGTCTCCGTCGTCCATGTCTTGGCCAGCGTCAATACTGGTGGAAGCAAGGTTGATCTCTCTTCCTCTCCGTAAGATGGAATCCTTGAACGACCTTCTCAGGGTAGGCAATCCACTAGGAACCATGAGAAATAGACGGTACAAGCGGTTGAGATCGTCAAATTTATCGAGGTCTACCATGACATTGAGGCCAGAATTGGGCATACCGATAACAGTTGACAGATTATGTGTTAATAAATGGCGCTCGAGAATCTTTCGCAGAGGGTCACCAGTTTGGGAGAAGAGGTAATGATAAGTTCGCGCTTGTTCCGAATCGAGACGTGCCTCGACCTGCACATTATGAGGGTAACCTGAATCCTTTGGGTGGAAAGAATACATACTCTTCGCAGATACTCTGGTGCATCACAAGTCTCCAGAAGTCGTTTACCTTCAGCGGAATAGAATGCTTCGCTGGCTGTAAGCACAGCCGGCTCTAGATCCCGCTTGTAGACGGTTTTGGCGTCATGATCGACGCTCAGCTGCAGAAGGACATCG